AATAAACCTTCGAATTGGATCAGTTGGTCGACTCATTCGATTTTAAAAAGAAAAGATAAAAACAAATCAAACAAATCTAACTCAAACCATCATCAAGATCACAATCAAATCATCAGAGAAGAAGAAGAAGACGAAGAAGAACAACAACAACAACAACAACAACAACAAGAACACTCATTATCATCACTTCATATAGCCAATCAATTCAATCAGACTCATTCAAATTCAAATTATCATCATTTACATCCTACACCACCTTTACCTAATCGACCTACTTCAAATCTTCATCAACAATCCTTCAACAATCTAAATGATTCTTCTTCAAATTCAAACTTACCTTCTTTACAACCATTCTCTCCTGAATATACAATTGCTATCTTACATATTCAAAACATTAGTTCGGCTATCAAAACTACCATCGAATCTAGATTAACTTCAACTGGTTTCAAATTCACTTCTCAACTTACTATAAACCTTTCGGAAGATCATCAAGATCATCTGATAAACGATCTGAGTCCAATCGCTAAATCTGGTTTTCAAAATGGTTTAAATTTGATTTATCTTTTAAACAGAGCTAGAGCTATACAAGTTTGGAAAGATTTAGTGGGTCAATCTAATTTCATTCCTACTACAAATCATTCATCGGATTCTACTCCTACTACTATCTCAAGACCTGGTTCTTTATCTTCAATGTTTGGTAAAGATGTCATTTGGGCTGCTGAAAATTTAGAGGTAGTCTATGAATTGATTTGTAAGTTTTGGTCAAAAGAAGATTATAAATTTAACCCTCAATTCATTCAACTTCAACAACAACAATCAAGATCTCAATCTCATCATTCTTTACCTCAATTCCATTCGTTTCATTCGTCTTCTGCTTTGAATCTCAATCCTCATTTACATTCATCTCCCATTCAACTTTCTTCAAGCGAGAATGGACTTGAAGATCCTACAGCAAAACCAAAGAAAAGAGTCTTCAAATTCAGTCATCAAGTTTCTGATGGTCCACCTGATATCGTCTCAAAGGGTATGTGTCTTCAAAAAACCTTTTCTTTGAGCTCCGTGAATTCGTTGGATCTGACCTATATCAAACTCATTTCATTCTTCTACAATTTGTAATTATGCGTACGCCTTTCTGAACTTGATCATCTTTGCCACGTCCGTTTATCTCGATTGGGTTTTATTTGTCGTATGGGTGATGCTTGGGTGGTTGTCCGGATTGAGTAAGTCGAATTTCAAAAAAAAAAACTTCCTTGGTGACCACTATCCTACGGTTGTCACGATCTCAATTTTCAATTTTTAGTTGCTGATGAATGACTCTCATACAGATTGAACTTTGGTGATTCCGCGCCCCACCTATGCAGCCGTGCAAAGCGGACCGATACATTCAACTAATTTAGCCCGTGAAGGACTCTCTTGTGTAACTCTGCAACACGCGTCTTCAAATCATCAACCCTTGGGTGTGAAGATTCTCACAGAGGCAAACGAAAATTTAATCAACTCGGAAGAGCAACCAGAAGATTGTGAAGAAGCTGAAGACAAGCAACCCACCCCATCTAACAGCCCTCATCGTCAATCTCTACCGCTCACCACACCTCGTTCGTTTTCCACTCGCACCTCATTCGACACCCTTCCTAACGCATTGGAATCACCTTCACCTACTCAATCGACTCTACCCACTCAACCCTCTTCTCCACCTCCTTCGACTCTGTTTCGAGTATCACGTTCGACTAGTCAAACTAGTGAATCACTTCACTCACCTTCTTCACTCTCATCCACTGCTAATTCAATTCGTTCGACCGAACATTCCTCTACACCCAACCTTCTTCGAACTACCCCTCCTACCATCACCACTACCAATCATACCGAACCTATCTTATCTCAATCTCAATCTTCTTGTTCTTCAAGATCTTCACTTATCTTCAAATCCGAAAAGACTAGATTCGCTCAATCACCCAAGATGACGTCAGTGACTACTACGACTTCAAGCTTCAAAGCAAGACCACTTCCAGCCTCCAATGCCCAACCTGATTCTTCACCTAGGATGTCAAAAGCTGCAATGTTACGATTAGGTTTACCTTGGACCCCACCCACTAGATCTGTTTCACCATCTGGTACACCCGAAAGTGAAACTCCAAGAGTCATTCCATCTGTAGCCTCATTAAACCCTCCAACTGTAGCACCTAGAGCCACGAAAGCATCAACTTTAAGAGCAGATGGAATCTTACCGGTTGATTCTAATCAACCAAGAGTAAAGAAAACCGAAAGTGAAATCTTTGAAAACACACCAGGACATAGTTTCAGAAGAAGATCATTAATCATCCCATCTATCGCATCACCCAAGACAGTACCAAGAGCCAACAAATCATCTGCACTTCGAGCCGGTGAATCAATTATGAGTAATCCAAAGGAAAAAAGAGAAAAGGTGAATGAGAAAGAAATCTTTAATGGTACACCGGGTCATAAACGAAATGAAAAGATTGAAGTTAAATCGAATAGACCACCTGAAGTGGAAGTCAGACCGACTAGAAGTTCAACCCTTCGAGCTTTATCTGATTCGACTACTAGTTTGACTAATCAAGTGAATGGTTCGAAAAACGGATTGAAGAAAAGTCAAAGATCACAAGCGATCGATAAACGTACTTCATTTGAAGGTGGTAAGTTGAAAAACATTGTTTCTCTTTTTGAACTCATTGAAAACAAGGAAATAATGAAAATTGATGAAACCTTGATGACTTTGAAAACTTTTTGTATATGTAGTACCAGGCCATAAAAGATCAATCCCAATCCCAGTAGCCGTCCTACAAAAACCACCCAGCACGTTACCAAGAATGAATTACGAGGGGTGATCTTAGGAATTGAAGAAGAAGAACGAGAAGGAGAAGGAGAAGGAGAAGAAATGAATTCGTCAAATGGATCGACTCATCCATCTTCTTCTTCATTACCACTTCATTCGAAATCCAATTCGGATGATCCAATCGATCCTAAAGAGTTTGGATCGGTTTTGATTTATTAGATTGGTTGATCAGTTAGATCTTCATGGCTTGGAAATCATTTGATGGATTTAATTTTTTTTTGTGTATGATGGAATGAACGAATGAAAGGGTTTTTTTTAGGGATTTGTTTTTTTAATTGCTTTTCTATCATTTTATATATTTTTTTCTTTGGATGTATTAGATGAAAGCGGTTTTGTTTCTTACTTAAGAGAATAAGAGTTGGTGAAGATGTGTCTATTCAATCTTTTTTTTTCTCTCATTGATCTTTGGTTGTCTTTCTTTGGTTGTTTTTCTTTCTTTTTCTTTTCCCTCTTTCTAAATTTCTTTCTTTTCCTTTGTGTGTGTGTGAACAATAAGTTTGGAAAAAGATGAAGAGAAAGTGGAAAATGGATGAAGAGCTTTCTTCTTTTTTTTTTGTTCTTTTTATCTTTCTTTTCGTTATCTTTCTTTTTCTTTTCTTTTTTCTTTCTATTCATAAAATTTGTTGTTATAATTGCTGAAATTTTTAGATTAAGGGTACTCAAAGCAAGTATGTGGCGCTACATATGTGGCACCACATACTTTCAAATTTTGTTTTTGACAGGCAAAATGACCTACACTGACATTACAATATGCCAAATATAATTCAAGATGTCCTTTTCTTCAACTCGTTATGGTAATTTCCGTGTCTAAAATGAAATTTGAAAAGTATGTGATGCCAGATATGTGGCGCCACATAGTACTTTGAGTACCCTTATTATATATATATATTGTACATATGAAAAACTTGATGGATTGTGATTATTTTTCTTTCGTGATAAGGATACGTATGTAAGTGATCAAAGATTGCAGAGTTCTTTTTTTCTTAGATATAATTTTCTGCTCTTTGATCGTGGTTTGTTAAGGAGGACAAGCTCCATATGCAAGTACCAAGAAATTGAAGTTTTAAATGACTTGAATTGTTGAGTGAATTGCTCAAAACCCATCATCTTACTCTGATGCATTACTCCATCAAATCCATATGAGATGTTAAAATCTGTGGTATTTCTGATCGAAATTATTTTATCGACATCTCTCTTTCTATGTACATATTTCTATCTGGGTTGTCTTTCTAGATCAAACTTGGTTCACAACATAACCTGAGTTATTCAACTTTGATTACAAACCCATCATAGTTTGTAGGTTAAGTAGATTTTTAAACTTGTTGGGAACCACCATTGAACAATTCTAGAGCTTCAAGATCGCTCCAGATTATTGTCTTTGTGATAGATCGACTGGATTTTTCAGAAAAGAGAGAATAGAATTCTACAAAGCAGATGACTGATCGAGGATGATCTGTCTCCACAACCCGAGAATCAGAATTTTAGTTGTCATAGATCAGAAACTTGTAAATTTGTATTTAATACGTATAGCCAAGCAAATGAGTTCATAGCCTTGAAATGTATGCAGTTAAAGATCCACATCATTCACTTGGGTGGAATATTTCTACCATGAAAATTAAATGTATCTCTCACCAGGAAGACGCCAAGAATGCACCGCTATTGGATTGTAAGGAAAAGCTGAACGAGTTTGCAGCTCGTACGATGACGAGAAAAGGATGATATTTTGATTCGTGTAGGAAGGAGTCCGGAGTGAAGGAAGCTGATGAGAAAGAGAGAATGGTTTCAGGATTGAATGAAAAGGGAAAAGAGAAAAAGGGAAAAGGTTAGAACGAAAGTCGAATCATCGAATCATCGAATCTGAATCTGTAACACTCTAGAACTAGAACTAGATTGCTAATCTTCAAAGTTCTTCTATTCTGTTTGATGGTAATCAGGGGTAAAACCAAAACCATTTCTCATCAAATCCATCATCACCATCACCATCAACTTCATCTCTCATCTAAACCTTGTCATCATATATCATTCATCAATCCAATCCAACCCAACCATCACATCAAAAGACTTACTCAACATTCCAAAGCAAACAAACTTTAAATCAAAGAAAGGATATGCATCAAACCAAACATCAAAAAGATAACAAATCATGAACTCAACCGATTCAAGATCAATCCATCCTATCAACTTATCAATCTCAAAACCATCTCAAGAACCAAAACCAATCAAGCTCAATCATCATCATCACAATCAATCTATCAAACCTAAATTAGAAGAAGATGATCAGAATTGTAATTTAGATTCCATTGATTCTACAAATTCAAAATCAACAAATCGATTTTACAAACGATTCAAATTAAGTACAGTTCAATATGCTTTCTTAGCTGTTCTTATTCTTCAATCAATTTCAATCATTGCTATCCTCTCTTCAACAGTTTCAAAAATCAAAAAAGAAATTCAATTAGGTACTCCTCAATTGACTAGCGTATCGACTTATCTAGTAAGTTTTTTATTTTCTTTCTAACTTGATGATTAGAATGGTCTTTTAATCTAACTTGGAAATCAATTAGGTCATCTTTATCATCGCCAATGTCTTCTCAATCGTCATGGTAAGTCTTTCAATCTAAAGAGTCGATTCACTCTCAATAAACTAATTCTATAACTGTTTCTTTTATCATCATCAAGACGTTTGATTCACTTTTCAACAAGAACGTCGTACAATTGATCAGCCTTTGTCTTTTTAACTTTCTGATGGCTGCTTATGGTGCTGTGAGTATTCTTATCAATCAAATCATCTCCTCATTTCTTAATCTGATTTTGATTTAAATGCTTTTTTTAGGTCCTACCACGTCAAATCAAACGTGCACTCCAGAATCCTGGTGGACCTGTTTCTTGGAATGGTGCACATGAAGGAACATCATGTAACATGGTCTGTCTCTAACTTTAACATATCTCTTTTGCAAAGCACTTTGTTCATCAATCTTACTTCTCTCGGTTCTTCTTTCATCAATTTAGTATGTGAGCTGTTATGGAGTTCAGTACTTGTATGGTGATATTCAAGGATGGATCATCACTATTCCAGTCATCACTGGATTTTGTTCTTGTTTATTAGCTTATCTAACATGGTTAATTTACAAAGAATTCGGTAAATCACTCTTTCCATCTCTTCTTTACTTTGAAAATCATTCAAAACTGACTTAAGCTTCTTTTTTTACAGGTTGGGATATCTTTAAACAAATCGGAGCTGATTTAAGATTAAAACGAATCATTCAACAAAAATATGTATTCTATATGTTACAGAAATTTAATTTGTTTTTCTTTATTGGATTTAGTGTTCAATTCTTAGTGTTATCTGGTTCGATGTCTAAACTTGAAAAAGCTTTTACGATTTGGTATGGATTGAAAAGCTTAAGATTCGTCTGTATGGATCGGAACCGGGACTGATTTGATTTTTTTTGATTGGGTATAGTGCATTGCCTTTTGGTTTAGCGGTGATGTAAGTTCTTCATTTTATCTATATCGTCTAAGAACCTTTGCTAAAGTGTTTTTCATTTTCGTATCACACAGTATATTGGCTGGTATAGCAGTCAGTCATGAGATCAAATGGATGATTGCAGTATATGCAGTAGTATGGGTAGCAGCAATGGTAAGGCTAATCTCTTTTTTTGGTTAACACTGTATTTAATCAACTCATCACTTACAGAAACATTTTGATTTCTCGATTCACCTTTTTTGGTTTTTTCCTTAGTCATCCTTTGTTTTTAAACTTGTTAGAATCTTTCAAGAACCAGTCTATGCAAGTGCAGTTAGAAGTTTGACACTCTTTTCGGTACTTAGTATTCTTTCACTTTTTGCTACTGGGATCATGGTAGGACTTTGTTATCAAAACTTTGGAAGAGGAATCAAACGTACAAGTGAGTGATGAACTTTGTACTTTTTGATTTGATTTGATTTGATTTGAGAGATTGATGAATTGTGTTGCGAAAATTTCTTAGCAATGGGATCTCCTTGGTTAGTTTTGATGAAAAAATCATCTTCTTCACCTACCTCTCCAACTGGTCCGACTCGAATGTCACTTGATTGAGATTGGATATCGGATTTTATCAACTATTCATTCAAATCCAACTAGATATACTTTTTTTTCATTTCTTTTAAATTTAGGTTTTGATCATATAATCATTTGCTCATAACCCTCCTTTTACCTATTCATATCCGATTTCGTATCGCTTCTTTCTACAAACGGGTTGGTAGATCACTAAAAAGACAATCAATGAAAAGAATGAAAGCAGGATAAGAAAGATTGATACCTTGTTTTTTTTTGGATATCTCTCTCTCGATTACTACTACTACTACTACTATTGCTATGATTAAGAGGAAGAAAAGATTATTGAAGAATTTCAGTTCTTGTTTATAGATATATATGAATGAACTTTTTTCTCTTTAGGGTTGGAATTGGGTTGTGTTTATATATAGATCTAGATAACTTTAGGTAGAATTCAGGGGTTGTAAGAGATGAATAAACGAAATAGAAAAGAAGTCAAGGAGATCAAAGAAGATCAAAGAAGAGAGGTAGAGAGAGAAAAGGTAATTTGAAAAATCTTCCAGTTTGAATTTTTTAAATCGAGAAAAATCAAGAAAGGGTACATTGTTTTTACAAAAACAATTGGTTGTTTAGATTGTGATTTTTGTTCTTCTTTTGTTTTGTTCTTCTCTCTTTTTCATGAAGAGGTATGTATCACATTCTGATTTTGATTTTGATGTTGATGTTGATTTTGATTTGATGAATGATGATATAAAGTTTGAAATTGTATAAAGGATATAACTAGTTGAAGAGAAGAGAAATGAAGAAAGTTCAGAATAATAATGGTCTTGTTTACCACTTGGACTGTGTTCATGTTGTTAATTACCATTTCGAAAAAACCATGATCCACTTGATCAGTTCATCATTCAGTGATTCATAATTTCAATTTCTCAAAAACTATCAGATGACCATCTTCAAATTCAGATTTATCATCCTCTTCTAATGATCATGAGTGGCTATATTGAATTTGGGTAGAGATTATCTTATTGAGTAAGAGAAGTTTTACCCTCTGTTAGGTGTTCTCTAGATGTGGTGATATGTACTCGTATCTCACAAGAAGTGAATATACATCCCCAATGCATCCGGATGCTCTCAATACTTGAATGCGCTGATCTCGTTCATTTACCAACACCCTGATCAGATCAACATCCTGTTTGACCAGGAATGAGCTTGTACATCAATCAGTACCGGTTTGATGGGCGATCTCCAAAAAGCTGCCCTTCAGACCAAGTATTAATTATATCTTGTGAGGATACCAAAGCTTAGCTCGGTGAATATATATATATATATATCTTCATTTATTTATTACACTTGACACTCTCAGATAGGCTGAAATCCGGTTCAAGAACTTGGTCAGTACATCGAAATTTTCAATTTTCTACACCTTCGCTTCGCCCTTCAAATATCATCATCTTTCCTGTAAATCATCTATGAAGAAGTTTTCGAAATCCGAGTTTGATACGCTGAAGATCTACTTTCAGTATGACTTTGAAATCCACTTTCAGCTTCTATAAACCTTCACTTTTTCTTCGAGGATCTTGCAGCATAGATTGCTGAGGTGAAAGGGCTGTAGAATCAAAGATCTCATAGAGCTTCAGTCAAATGAATCGCACTGAGATCTCAAGAGATAAAGATTGATGGACACGTAACTCTTCAAATCTGAGTGCGATTTGGTAAACCACATAGACCAAGCCCGTCAAGAGTACACCAGCTGGTGACTTAGACCTGGCGAAACTCATAACACGTTCAACGCTCATCATGCAAAGGCCAAGAAAGCTTCAAAAGGTACTCACTGTAATGCACCGGCCAGAAAGCAAAGTGTACTACCGTCATACATAGGACTTTGACTGACATTGAAGGGGAAACCCACGACCATTTGATCCATCAAGATACCAAAATAATCACCAAGATAAGTACCTGTGACACCTAATTTCCACATCGAACTACCAACAAGAGTTGAACCGAGTGCAAAGAGAGCACGAGCCAAGATTGGTCGATTGAGGAAATCATGGGTAGGTTGAGTTTGAAGTGCTCGTTGATAACTGTTTATTTCGATTTAAGAAAACCAATGTTTAGTTAGATTGTGGATAACGAATACAAATCAAATGAAATTACTTAACAGATGATCACGTATAATTCCAATTAAAAAAATCACTACTCCAAGAAAATAACAACCTCGATAAGGAGAACCAAAGATCTTAGTAAGAAACCTAGTAGAATGTTCTAAGAAAGAAAACAAAACAAAAAATCCCCATCATGAGTATATATTCAATTTGAGAATAAAGTCAAAGAAATGAGAAATGAACTTTACCTTTTCTTGCAATTATATTCCAAAAGAGTGGATTAAAAATAATACTAATTACTGAGATCCAAAGATCAATTTGATGAAAATCAATTAACTCGGTATCCAAAAAGTTCATCATCGTGTTCATAACTTTATGTATGAAGAATACTTGAGGAGAATTGATGATTTAAGATTTGTTGTACCAAGCTTGATTCATGACATGATCAAAATTGGAGGTGTTTTGATTCGAATCCGATCGAGATCATATTCAATTGGACCATTAGATTTGAAACCTTATTTTCGATATAATCATATTCCATCCTTTACAAGCATCCGTAGTCGGGTTCGAGATCCATTTCATGTGTTTATAATTATGGCGTTCAAACATGCGCAAGAAATTTGCAAGTTGTGAGAAAGTTCTGTGCAAGTTCTTTCAAACATCTTGCATAGAACTTGCACAAAACTTGCAGACTTAAGAAAGTTATGTGTGAACCTAGGCTTCCCCGCTTCGAGGACTCAGTTTGCCCTTGATGAGAAAGGGTAAATACATACAGCAGGGGGTTGTGAAAAAATTAATTAAGCAAGATCCGTGCAAGATTTCTTGCACGGATCTTGCACGGATCTTGCACGGATCTTGCACGGATCTTGCACATCGGTTTTGCAAATTTCTTACACATGTTTGAACGCCATAAATGTACAGCCGTTCCAAGAAAGGTTGACAACTTTTCTTTGGAGAAAGTTGTCTCCGCAGCGGCTAAAACCAAAGACAAAACTTGGTTACAGGTTTATTATTTCCTGTATTCTTCCAATTAGCGGAGAGACAAAATCAAGTGAGAGACAAAACCCGGGTTTTGCACATTGGTGAGATTTCCAAAAAATTAATCTTTGTTGGAACAGCTGTACCCCTGAAGGCTGATTCATGTACCCATGAAGTCAAACTCACAACTAATATCATATCAGAGCGGGGAGTCAGTGACAAAGGTGGTTGACCATAGTGGTATCTGCATTGTAAGTAGCTTGAGTCATATGAGTATCCAAGAAAACAGACAGAGCTTGTGTTGGGTATGGGGTTTGACTGCTAATTATTGCCTCTAGAATCTCTGGATACATCTTTCTGGATACATTTGAATGGAAATCATGGCACTACATTCATGGCACTACATTGATAAAGCTTAGAATCAAAAAAAAAAGAGAGAGAAGAAATGAAGGTCTTTTACATTATAGTTTTCAAGTCAGTTAAAGTGTACTGAAACATGATCCAGGATTTGATTTGACCACTAATCTCACACAACTTGATATAAAGTCTTTTCAATGATCATGAAGATGAACTCTTTTACAAAACTTTGAGGATAAGATAACAAATTAAATCTTCTCTTCTTCTCTAAGGGCGTGTTCACTTAGCCGTGATTTTGTGAAATCACATTCAGGGACAGGGCTTTTCTACATGTAGAAAAGCGATTTTTGTACAAAAAACGAAATTTCACGTTTCATGACAAAAGTGGTCATGAAGCGTTTGTTTAAAGTCAAGTTAAGGACGGAATTCGTCCGTTGATCAGATCGATCGCTTTCTCATTTGATAATGGAAGCTGTAGAAGGTCAAAGGTGATCACACCTTCATGAAAGCTTCCTCTGTATCTCATTGGGCCAATCCATATATATTATTCAAAGCACTCTCTACATATATCTCGGAATGATGGTTCAAACGATTCTCATTGGTAAGATCTATAAATACACAATGTGATAGACTCGGAAAGATTTCCCTCCCTTCAGTATGGATTGAAGTTGAGTATCTAAATCAAAATAAATTATTAAAAAAGTCATCTACATAAAAAGAAACGATACCAAACAAGATGAGCTAAATAAAAGAGAAGACAAAGATCAGATGTCTCTACAAAAAGGCTACGAAATGATTAAATTGACCCATTACCACACCGAACGGTCGAGATCCTCCATTGTTGTTGTTTGTATTGATATTGATTTCATTGTCATATTAAAAGCATGAACTTGGTGTGCGTTTAGTCACTTCATAGTACATTTTGTATCATCATAAGCAGTATAGATATGTTTTTTGATTGACTTCAATGTGTATCGGTCAACTTGTTCATTGGCTTTGATCTTGTTTTCTTTCACTTTGACTGGTTTGTTGACTTTGATTGATTTGTTGACTGAGGTTGAGGTTGATTTTGATTTTGATTTAGGTGTGTGAATTTGACTTGAGGCAAGAATCAAATGAGCAAGATATTGATAAATATAATTGAGGATGAGATCGATTGAGGACGGTGATCAAAGATGGCTTTTGATGAGTGTGGTGGATGTTGGATTTTCATAGGTTGGTGCAATGGATGGGACTTGAGCAAGATTGGAGGGGTTCCGTACGGTGGAAGGTGCCTTGAGAAATTTCACCAGCTTGAGAAAGGATTCACAGAATGCGATTTCTAAAGGGAAGAATTCAATAATAGCGAATTCTTGAAAAGTCCCAAAAAATCGCTTTTTGTAAGCATTTTCTGATTTTTAAAATGCTTGTATTTAAGAAATCAAACGCTTTTCACAGAATGCGGTTTCTTGACATTCAAGAAAGCGATTTCTCAGGAAAAAGCGCTTAATTGAATGTGCTCTAAGACGTGTACTTTCCAAAAAAATTTGAGCACAGGAATTCATGCTGTGAATGTCCACACAAGGCTGTCCAAACAAAATGGATCTACAGGCCACACAGCATGTAGAAAGCCTTGCATGAAAAGGCATCCCCATCTAAAGATGGATTGATTGGGTCCTGTTGATATGTTTCCTGTGACTTTGAGCGTCTGCCTTGAGATATATGTACATACAGACCTTTACAACTTGTCTATATACGGCTACTTTGATTGTTAGAGGTTGGTTTTATAGGCTAACCTTAAAGCTTCTTTTTTTAAAAGTAATTCTACAATATTTGTTAGACTCACACTATGTCTGATTCAGGGAATCAAGAAATAAGTTTTAAAGATCATGAGATTCTACACTATTAAAATCTTATGCAATAGGCGAGGACCCAGGAAAGCTCCTGTGGAGGTTGGAGTCGAGAAATGTCGGAATTTCACCTGCAATTTGACCCAGGTTGGTGTTGAAAAAGGTCAGAATTAGCCATTTTTGCCAAAACGTAGGTGTTGAAAACTGTCGGAATCGGGCGGATTTGAGACGAAAGGTTGACCTTTTTTACGTAGATTTTAGGGTTAGGTCTGGCTATGAGAGGCATCAAAGTGTGAAAGCAAGCTAGAAACCTATTCTGAGATGTCACGAGAAATGCAATGAGCAGTATTCTGCAGTGTATCTCAGTTCCCGATTTTACCACAACCAGCCACTGGCACTACGCACCCCACACTACCCCACACAATCACATTCAAAGTTCCAACTGAAACAGAGTTAAACTCATCAACTCACCACTCAATACCAATCTACATAACCATGCCACTGCTTAAAGACGTGATGAAAGAGGTGTTACGCCTGGTTGAAGAATGCCCGATGATAGCCGAAGCTACAAGCGCCAATCAGATTTACAAGACGTTCTCGCATCCACCTCACTTACCAGAGGAGGATGCGGAAGAAGGAATATGGTTATCAGTCAATACAAAACTCAACACGTTATTTGGTCAAGACAATGGTCATGAGCACATCTTAAAAGGCTCCAAAGGCATTTCTTTGGTTGTGAGATGGGTGGATACGGCTCGTGAGCACCCAACATGAGATTCACCGCAAGAAAAGGAACAACACCTACATAAAAACGGAAAGTTTGATTCTGCATCAGACAACTTGATCAAGCTCAAATTCGAGAGAATTTGTGATCAAGTCAGGGGTAAGCTTAGCTCATCTCGTTTGCCCTCCATCATACAAATAGACAGAATTTCTGATTATGAACTTGTGTCTATCAGCACTCGGAGGATCTCTTCCTCAACCATCTCAATCTGCAAAAAAACCCTCGAAGGGTGTTAAACGTCGAATTGTTTCAAACCCCACATCGAATCCCAACATCACAGTTGCCCAAGAACCGAAGCGTCCTTCAAAACGTCAACATACTGTAGCCAGCACATCTACCTTAAATCCAAATACAAATCCAATTACGATCTCATCTGATTACGAGTCACCTGATCATGATGATGAAGTCATCTTTGTCAAAAGAATCTCTAGTAAACCCTCACAAAAAAAGAACGAAAGAAAAGAAGTGATCCAACGTCTTTATGCCCTCTATCTAAACCGAACCAGCCTTGCACGCGTTGTAAAGTCGAGCAGGACCCAAAGGGAAAGGTTTTAAGGTGCCACTGCGGTTCAGCACTGATCATTCTTCATCAAGGAAGAATTGAAGGTGCACAAGTGCACTGGCAAAGTGGTAAGCAGTCTTTTTGCCCTCATTTTCAATAGTTGTTAAGCCTGTGTTGATGTGCTTGATGTTTTTGTAACATCAGGTATGTGTAAGAAAGCAACTGCTACATTAAGAACAAACACAGTCTTGAGCTTGTATTTTACCAAAGATCCGGCTCTCCAACCTGTCAAAAAGAATATAATTGACACTGTTTTCCCCGGTCTGACCGATGAAACCTGGATCAGACATCGGGCGAAACATACAATCTCTCAGTTCATGGAAAGCACATGCAGCGTCTATTGCGGCATCATCCAATACCAAATTCGCCAAGAACTCTTTAGGCCCGATCTCACAGAGAACGGTCTTACTAGTTCCCACAAGTCTCAACTAGTATCAACAATGGACGCACGAGCAATCAGGGAAGTCAAGCGAAATGGTGAACGCAACACCATTCACTCAAAATCTTGTGAGAAAACTTTTGAACGCCACAAAAAGGACCCTATACAACCTTGCGATGCCTGCCTAGATTTAAAAGGTCTTACCAGCTTGACACGAGCTCTTAACCGACAATATGCTGAAGGTGACAAGATCAAATTTATACCAAACTATCTGATGTGCATGGATAAGTTCAACGCCCTCCTGAGAAAGCACTCAGAGCTAAGAGTTCTTCAAAAGTCTCTTGAGTCATCACCAAATGGCGACTTTAGTGAATTTCTCTATCACCTTTCGATTTTGGCTAAGGAAGGATTTTTCCAGAACCGAGAAGCCATGAAAGGGATGATCATGGGATGTGCTGTACGCGCCAAGCGTGAGGAAGCAGGAAAGTCTCTCCGGGGCATTGTAGAACTTATAACCCAACAAGGGTTATACAGAGCTGGAAGAGGATAATCCACTAATAAAATGACTAGTAGAAGTTGTCTAAGGACTGCTCTTCTAAAACAACACAATCAGAAAGAGCTCTGTTGTATTGAGTACTGATAAGGCACCAGAGAAATATATCTTCACACGTAATTTAACTTCAAAAGCACACTTTGTATTACTATCAACACTGCTATAGTGTTATTCCCAATTGATAACTAAAAGAAATAAGCAATATCTGATTGATATTATTCCCAATAAGTCTTTATGACTATAAAACTAAAGTAAATTTCTCTTTATAATTGTAATAAAGGGCGTATTTAAGTGACCAGGTACTATTAAAATAAGTTTATAATGATAAACAAAATAATAATGGCGTAAATGATAAAGAAAAAAAAAGGGAACAACAGTCCCAAAACCCTCTCAAAGTATATATAACAATGTACTAGAACTTTTACAATGGTCAACAGCCTCAAAACCAATCAAATCCGCCCAAAATTCCCTAAAAACCCTATGATGACGCAATGTAATGATTTTGTTACTAATAAATGATGTAATTTTCACAGCTAAAAGTGATCAATGACGCAATAATATGATGTACAGCACTTCTTATGATGAATACAGCTGATTTTTTCCTTGTAAACTAGCTGAAAACCAATTTTTGAGATTACGAATTTTTTCAGATGTGCTTCAATTTTTGATTACTAAAGTTCATCTTGTAGCCCACGTGTTACTGATCATTTCTGACACCTACATGACCTACTTCTGATGAGTGATGAGTAAGATATTGAGTTGTGAAGTTAAGGTTTTTAGTGTTACATGTGACTTGTGACTGTAAATTCGAGATTCACACCAATTCTTTATTTGCCTTATAACTTTTTACACACACCTCCGTTACTAATGATTTAAAGTTTGTACACTATGTAATCCACTCTTCTGCGTTGAATGAGCCATCTACCAACCTATTCGGACATCATTTGACATATGTAATTAGCTAAAAACCTCCATTTTCCACGAATTTCACCCATTTTCTTCACTTTTCACAGCTACTACTCTCTTTTTCTTGCTCATGTAATATGACATCATCATCTATAACCTTAAAAATCCCGGAAAATCCTCTTGGCAACCTTAAATTCCATTACTACCACTATTACACAACCAAACTACACGTGTACCTCTTGTTTACCAACTTTGAGAAAGTGCCTTTTCCCTAATAACTTCTGTTTCTACTTATCAACCTTGAAGATTAAAATTGTCATAGTATAATATCATGTTGTTCTTTCATATTCTAACCTCATAATACCCATAACTTTATTTTTACTAACCTAAAAACCATTTTCCAACCTTTGTACCTATAATTTCGAATTTTTCTTATGTTTTTCTTTCTTTCTTTTTGTAATAAGTTTGTAAGTAAACTATAATGATCTTATGTATAATGTGAAATAAAAATGATGTAATATTGACCTAATGACCAATACATAAGCCTACAAGAGCTTCAATTGATCAAAAACCTCCATTTCGAATTTTCTTTCCTGCTGAATCCTGCTAATAAACTGGTAATTATGAATTTTTTAATTGATCCCATAAATTGATCACCACAGCATGCGAATCGACGCTCATCTCAACGACTGCCTCACGACTTTGGGTGCAATGAGCAAGAGTGCTCTTAAACTCATCACCAAGAACTTTGTTGGTAAAACACTTCAATGTCAACGAATGGATCGTGCAAAGAGCAAGACCGAGATAGAGGATGGAATGGCTCAGGGAAATTTTGATCGTGCGGCTGAGATCCTTGCTGAGCTCGGATATTCAGGGCCTGTTGCGGTTGCCTCAGATCAAACGGTTTGTGTCCAGACGCTTCGACACCATCATGGTTTCATTGTTGGAGCCCAAGGAGGCGACATACCCTTTAATAGCCCGGATCAACTGCAAGAATTACTTGAGAATATCAAGAGCAAAAATAATTTATGCTCCAAAGTAAGTATTTATCCAGATACTTATTCAATTCCATAGACTAACTCATCATATCTATTAACCACTAGATCCAAGCTTATACTATGCAGGTTCCTCTTCCCAACATTCCGACGCTAGTTGTTGCATTGTTAGCTAGTAAATCTGACAAAGGAAGTGATGATATTGCAGTACTTCACGATACTGTCATACAAATGAGTCGGGCTTCCGGTATTAATGTCCTGTCAATTGGTGCGGATGGAGCTGCCAATGAGTTGGCTGCGCAGGCAAAGCTCAATCAAATGACAACTCGATTCTTAACATATTTGAACAAAAATCTTGAAGTCAACATTAAAGTCCCTCTTTTTGGAAATCCACCTCGCCCAATTGTTACTTTACAGGACCCTAAGCACGCTAGGAAGACTGGTGCTAATCAACTATTATCCGGGTCCCGCTTGATAACTATTGGAAAATTCACTGTCTCTCTTCAAGACCTCTCTCAGGTTCTACAAACTCCAAATAGCCCACTCCTTGCAAAAGATGTGTTTGACTGCAATAAACAAGACAACGGGCGTGCATTGAGGATATTCTGCTCTCAAAAAGTTGCCACAACTCTGGCTCGACCCGACTGTTCTGGCTTAACCATATATCTTTTCATCATCGGCGAGCTATGTGATGCATGGTTAAACAAAACAATGAATCATCGAGAGCGAATTAGGTCTGCGTGGACAGCTGGTTTCTTCCTCCGAATGTGGAAAAAACACCTTCTGCAGCGTCAGTCAGATACAAATGGTTTAATGAGCTTTCACCTCAACGGAATCTCACACGCAAGCTTCAAAATATTTTCAACTCTTGCTGAATCATTAATAGCACTAATTATCTCACATTGCGAGTATTATCCAGATTTCCTGTTCTGCCCATGGAAACATGGAACCGAAGCGTGCGAACATATATTTGGATGGATGAGAGTCATCTCTCCAAACTTTAGTGTTCTTGATGCCCGCCTCATGATGCCCAAAATAATTTCAGTGGTCAAGAGCATCATGAGTGGAAGGATTCAGATTCCACCATCAGAACATGTCCACGCAGTGTACCAGATTGATCTTCATGAAGATAATGCTGATAACCTCAATCATCTGCGTGATTTTCCTTCAAATAAGGAGATATCAGAAGACCTTTCCATTGCTAATAAACGTGCTATGAGTTTAGCTGAATTCTGTGGAATGGTTGCAATTGAGCTCAACAAATCAGACAAAGATGTAGAAGAAATCCTCGGTTCTACTGTACATAACACTCAAGAACACTCTCCAGGTATGTTTCCCTGAAAAATTTTAACAGCAAGATTATAACTTTTGATTGTGGAGCTGATGAAAGTCTGAATCTTTCAGATGTTTCAACAAGTGCTGCCAAAGATTACGAGATCAACTATAGTTTTGAACTTGGGGAATTCCCTGAAAATGTGGCTTTTGAAACGGCAGCAACATTGACAAAAGAGCAGAATGCTCTCAACGTCATGATGGAACAAGTACCCAAGACTTTTGAGGGTAAAGTGGTCCAGAACTCTGCAATGTTGATTTCCAACCTTCTCAACTCTAGTGGTGCGTATTTTTTACTTTAGCATCAAATTTGTTCCATAAACTTACCGATAATCTCTTGCAAAATAGATGAGCCTCAGAACCCGAATGGTCTGGTTTCAGGATTGGGAAAAGAAGCTACGTTGTGCTTGATTGATAATGACAGACTTCATGTCAAGAACATAATCGAATTACGAAAACAACACGATATTCAAGTAGCAAAGAACAAAGGCAATGATAGAATACTGACAAACTGTGATAATCTAAGACTTGAGCTCAATTTGACTACAAATGATGGCATCTTGAAACCTAGCATATGCTCAAAAGCTATCGCGGTCTTCATGAAGAATTTCTCTGGAACCCCAGCTGGTGCTGCGCGTCAACACCGGTGGAACATGCACATCAAGATGAATCTGGGGGGTCTCATCACAAACACCACTAAAGATCGAGCTGTGGATATGCAGCAGTTATTTGACAGGGGCTCTATTGGGATTGAAAACCCAATTGAGCCGGGTACAATCATTATCTTTATCAAGAACGACATATGTTTTTCAACTTTGTTCAAAAGCATAGTAGCCTGTTGCTGATGTTTTATGTGACTCAGATCTTATATCTTGCGCGGACAATAGTTGTCTATGAATACGTGGCAGGAAAACACGGCTTTATTACGAGTGCTACATCAAGAAAGAAGTTATTGCACATTGGCGTACAAGTCTTATACTATCAACCAGGGTCTCCAGTGGCAATGGCTACTAAAGACGACGATCCTAATACCTGGGTCTATGCCCTCCTCGACGCCCCTGACATCATCTATGTCTTCAAGCCTTCGGATGGCTCAAACTTTGCATTACTTGATGAAGGATCTTATTCCATTCCCAGGATCATCTGTGAGATGTTGCGAAGTATCAACATTGACAAGCTCATTCAACGTCACAATCAAGAAAGAAGCAAGTCGAAATCAACAGTCCATCATGAAGATGAATAGTGAATCTTTTATTTCCACTTTTGCTTTTATATCACGTCTCTATTACAATACATGTTTCTATTTTCATCTCTGCCTAGGTAATTGAGCTTTAAAAGTTGTTTTTCATCTTGGTATAAAGGAATCTTCGTGCTTTGTGCTTCTGAGAGCTGACAAACGGGGCTGTTTGTACGTCAGCCCCAGTACTATGCGGAGCCGGTGCCGGGCTGGGCTTATGAGTAATCCTGCTGAGGGATGTAGGTGTCGAAAAACGTTGGAATCTGAGGATTTTTTGGGAATCAACCGGAGTTGGTCGGAATTTTCGACACCAACCTCTGCAGGGGCTTTCCTGGGTCCTAATAGGCGCTGTCAAGTTTGACTTTTTTTTACGGTTTTTACAATAAAAAGCTTCTCCTGCTGTAGCATAAGTTTATGTAAATTTTACGCAAATGGGAGAAGTTTTATGTATCCCTTTTGCGTAAAACATAAACAATTTATGTTTACAACATGTGATCAAAGAGCTCACCTTGACTGATTTGCTCTTGTAAACAGTGGGCTTGATAGTGGATGCAAGGACAACCTTGCATCCTTTTACCAGCAGTTTTCACCTCACCAGGTGGATGATCAAGGCAAAAATGTAAAAAAACCTTAATTGTGGACCAGCAGTTATTGTACAACCACGGCTAAGTTTTTTTTTTGAGTTATAACATAAAAACTTAGGGCCCGTTTGGCTGGATTTTGAAATAATTGTTACCCAAAAATGATTTTTCGATCTGCCCCTTGAAAAAGGGGCAGATCAAAAAACCAAATTTCGGCTTTTTTGTTTACCAAACAGTTGACCAAATTGGTCAACAAAAGATCGAAATAATCGTCGTTGACCATTTGATCAGCGTTCAACTGTTTGGTAAACAAGAAATGAAACAATTTTTCAAACAAAACTTGATTGAAACTTGAAAATCAATTGTTTCGTTTTTGTTTTCTTTATCTTTTTCGTTTCCACTCATCCACTCATCCATCCATCTCGGTCATCAACAACCAAACTCACCATTTTTTTGTATCATCGTGACACTTCACATCACGTCATTTAAGACATCATGGAGCATTGACCTTGTGCTTCAATTCAATCTCTCACACCTGAGAAATGTGCCGAACATCAAAAGCTGCTCAAACTACAGTTTCTCAAACATCTCCTTGCTGTTCAACAGCAACAATTCCAAATTTTTTGTTACTCCAGCACTGGTGTACAGGCATGTGCAGCTCAAATCCTGCCTCATCTCACCAAAACTCCGTGTCTTACGTCCATCCTCAGCAGTCAGGCTTGGATTGATGAGCTCATAGCTAGTCAAAATAACTCAGTTTTCTACGAGAATCTTGGCATGCGTAAACATGTTTTTTTTGAATTATGTTCTGTACTTGAAGAATCCGGAATTTTATATGACTCCCGTTGGATCACCGGAACTGAGAAGTTGGCTATCCTTCTCTATACTGTCATCACCGGCCTTTCTAATCGTAAACTTCAAAATTGTTTTCAAAGATCAGCTGGTACCATATCTAAGTGAATTTTTTTATTTTTTTTTATTTTTTATCATTTAGTTCAACACTGTTTCTGACTTTCCTTTTGACTATGTAGGACAATCAATCACTTTATTAAAGGAATTTCCAACCACGGAGATTTACTCAGCAAATATATTCCTCTTCCCAATGCCAACACTCCTCTTGCGGATACCTTCTCCAAGAATCCAAAGTTTATGCCTTATTTCAAAGACTGCATTGGTGCTATTGACGGTACACACATTCCGGTCACTCCGCCAGCTTCCAAATTCATTCCTTTCTCTAATCGCAAAGGATACACCTCTCAAAACGTCCTTGCTGCCTGTAATTTCAACATGGAGTTTATTTATTTATTGGTTGGAGCTGAAGGAAGTATGGCCGACGGTGCTATTTGGACTTTGGCTCGAAGTTGTGATCTTAATATTCCAGCTGGAAAGTATTATCTTGGTGACGCTGGCTTTGCTCTCACCAAGAATTGTATTGTTCCTTTCCGAAAAGTTTGTTATCATCTACGCGAGTGGGAAAAGAAAGGTTTCAAGTGAGATTCCTTTTTTGTTCTTATCTTTTGTCATCAATCTCATAATTTCTCTCTTTCTTCTTCTCAATCCTTTCATCTTAGACCAATGAATAAAGAAGAGTTATTCAATCTTCGACATGCTAGTGCACGCAACGTCATTGAGCGTATCTTTGGAGTGCGCAAGAAGCGCTTTCAAATCATGGCGCACGGGTGTGAATACACCATCGAGATTCAAATTTCAATGGTCACGGTGATGTGCTTTATTCACAACTTTATTTGTGTCAAGGATCCAAAAGGTTCAGCTGAAGAATTCCCTCAATTTGGAGAAGGATTTATTCCCGAACCTCAAGATACTACGGAAGCGCCTACTCAAGAACAATCTGGTTATCTTCAAGAATTTGGTAGCACTGCAGAAGGAAATAACTATGCTAAAAATCTCAGAGATAGAATTGCAGAAGATATGTGGAGGGATTACTTAGTGGAGACCGAAAGAAGAAGAAAAGTAAACCGAAGTAAACAAAGACATGGAGTACCTCCCATGTATCCGGGTGTTTAAATCATATGTAGCTATTGTATTTTATATTACATCTCTTGATCAAAGCATTTTTATCTCATGTGTATTACAAGAATCATATGTAGCTATTTTATTTTATATTACAACTCTCAATCAAAGCATCTTTATCTTACATGTATCACAAGTCTCACTTAGAAATATTGTTATCTTACATTGATTAATCAAACCTTTTGTTTTTGTTTGTTCAATGAAGGTTCCTCTCAATTCATGATCAGTTCATATGAATTAAGGACACATACATAGGTTAACATTGCAATCAGTAACAAATCAGACAGTCACAGCCACTGCACTACACTTGTATCAGCATGTATATATATATACAAGTGTAGTTGATAATATATTTTATTAAAGGTTTAATGGTTTTTTATATTTAATATCAAACAGCACAACATTTTTATTTGGAGGTTTAATAGTTTTTTATTTAGAATAAAACAGCACAACATTCTTATTTAAAGGTTTAATAGTTTTTTATATTTAAGATCAAACAGCACAACATTCTTATTTAAAGGCCTATGTATCAGCATGTATGGATACACAATGAACTTGATAATATCTTGAAGTCAATCTTGAAGATAAATGATAGAGAATCAAAAGAAAGAAAGATAGATAGAATCATTGAGTCAGTAGGTGATGGATGATGATAAAAGAGATTATTTGAAAGAGATTATTTGAGAAACTACTTACTTTATTTCTTGAGGATGTATTGAAGCCAATCATCACGCTCACGAGCTGGTGTATTGACATAAGTTTCAGCCATCACGGGCTTTTCAGCAAACAAATCTAAAGCAGCGTAGCGTTGAGCGCGTTCAAGAGTTGATTTATAGATGAGGGAAACAGCTTGTCCATGAGTGGAAGGCTTGTCCGTTTGAATCGCATGGGCCGCAGTGTCGATAGAAGCTGAAGTCAAGGCAATGGAAGATTCAATGTTGGAACCAAAAGATTTCATGTTGTCCGAGATACTGTCGATAATATCAATCCCAGAGTGTTTCTTCGTTTTAATGGGAGCACAACCTTTCAACACGACCTTGGACTTGCGGTGACGCTTTGCTGCTGGAGACTCGTCTGAACTCGAGTTGTCCTTCGGCTTGGAATTGATTCCAGGTAAGTCGAAACCGTCAGAAGAAGGGGATTTAGCAAGAGGTTGAGGGGAAGCAGGTGGAGAAGAGAAACCATGAGGATAAGGAGGAAAAGGCTCGGGTTGTTGGGATATGAAAGGTGAAGGGATGTCCAAGATGTGTTGATCAATGGCTTTGTCAACAATTGGGGTAGATGGAGGAATCGATTGGTCTTCGGTTTGATTGTCAACAATCCCACTCTTGATGTACTTCCCCGTAGCCTTGTGACCCTCCACTAACACACCAATGGCATCGAAGAGAGGAAATGGACAACCTTTGCACCAAGCGTATTCCTTTGCCTTGTTACTAGACTTAAAAAGAGCAAGGAATGTCAGTCAGATGTAGAAATCAAAAGGGAAATCGAAAAAAATTGACTTACTTTATCAGCGAGAATGGGTGCCCAGACCGAACTGGGTAGCACCATGCAATCATCTTCCCACCCGCACCACTCAATCCATTGAGGTATTTATAATCAGTGTATGTATTAGTCAACTGTAGATAGATGGAAGTAAAAGAATGTCAATAAAGAGAAACAAACATTCAGAGAAAGAAAAAACTCACAAAATACCAATGAGCCTTACAAGCCTTTGTGGTTTTGGCTGCACTGACATGAACTGAATCAGTACCGGGAATTTTCTTCTCTTCACTTCCCGAGAGTGCTTCTTCAACCTTTGTCCAAACAGTGGTCTTGAAGCCATGAGCAGTGGTGGTGTTTTCAGGTCCAATCGGTGCGTTGGCAGGCTGTCGATCAGCCGTGAGAACTTCAATCAACAACAAGTCATCTTCGTCGTCCCATTCAGCCTTGACTCTGGAGGTCTTTGGTGTTTTGGTGATTGGCGGAGGGTTCAGCTTGGAGGTCTTTGGTGTAGTGGTGATTGGCGGAGGGTTCGAAACGGTAGATGGCAACAAGGTCGGTTCAATACAAGATGGAAGAACTTTGCGTTGAGCTCGGATTGCTCTAGGAGCACGTGGTCAAGCGGTGGTACCCATAGGACAGTGAAAAGCTTGAAAGTAACAATAATAGGATAGTAAACAAAGATACGGAGGATAGTGAAAGGCTTGAAAAGTAACAATACGGAGGATAGTGAATAGGTTGAAAAGTAACAATACGGAGGATAGGACATATGAAGAACTCAATCATGGGATAGATGGTAGAAGAAGACGTTGAAGAGGGTCTTCATTGGAACTTGGCAATAGACAAGATCAATAGGAAGAGATGTGACGAAGGAAACAACATAGAAAAGAAAAGTGAGGGAAAGAAAGGGTGGGTGAAGTAGATATAAAAGGGTGGGTGTTGGAAGTTCATTGAGGGGCAAATATGATATTTGGATCTGAAAAACACCCTTGAGGCTGTTTTTCAGATTGGATCGGTATTTGACCAAATACCGTATTTGGGGTTTGATCAAATACGGTTTCCGAACGCCGGTGTTTTTGGCCAAAGCCAAATACGTATTTGACCCAAATATTGTATTTGGCTTTGGTGGAGTATTTGGCCAAATACAATATTTGGAACCCAGCTGAACGGGCCCTTAGCTGTTTCATAGTTTTTTTTGTTATAAAAAATCAAACTTGACACCCCCTAATATATTTCACCTGAGAACTTGTATAGTAAGGGGGCTCAGGTCAAGATTTTTGTGGCCTTGTCCTAAAAATTGGGGAAAGTCTTTTACAGTACCAGGCTGTAAAAAGTTTTCCTAGTTTTTTAAAAAAAATGTGTTGCTGAGCAGCAAATTTACACAAATTTGAAACTTTTCCCAATTTCATAAACTTTTGCATAAATTATATGAAATTGGGAAAAGCTTTTATGGTCAAAGCAATAAAATGACATGACCTGAGCCCCCCTATCATTTGATTCTCTATTCTCTGTGCAATACCTCACTGATGTTTCTTTTGTGAGAGGTGAAGAGTAGAAAATAGAAAGGAAATCAGGTATGTTGATGAGATCCATTTGGTGGTAAGGTATATCATTACTGTGTATCAGGTGATCAAGTTGTGGTCATCTTGATCATCAGATCTTGCTTTTAGACAGTTTCAAATATTATATCAGTTCATTTGTGTAGCTGTGAAGTCTTTGATCTGTTTCCAGTAGAGTCACTGATCAATATCCATATATAATAACTCATGAAACTGATAATTGTGAGGGTCAATTCAACATGAAAACTAGATTGCCAAGAGAAAATGGGAGCAAAATTAAGTGTGTGAGGTCAGAGATTGGGTGTTATGTGAGTCATGAAAATCAACTATGCATCTTTGATTTCAAAAACAAAGGAGCTCATCAGCAAAATGTGACACTTTGTGCCACTAGGGGGTTTCAAGTCAATAAATTTACGGTATTTTACAGTCCAACAAATTGTCTGATGTTGCAAAATATACCGTAAATTTAAAAAAATTGGGACACCTAAAAAGGTGTCCCGAATGGTGTTGAACGTATATTTGCAGAAAAAAAACCCACTGTAAAATTTGAAAAACTTGTCTGTTTTTTGTTATGATCTCAGGCTGCATGTAACGGGATGTGAAAGATCTGTAGGAGATGTCACAAGATTAGACACCAACCTCTGTTGTACACGTCACGCTTGTATATCTTTTCCTTTCCTTCTCATCCGACAATCTACATACAAGACTGCAGAAGCCACTCCTCCATCCCAGTCGAGAGAACCGTGCCGTGGCCATAACATTTTTCAAAAAGTTTCACAAAAAATTTCTGACTTGAAACCCCCTACTGTTAAAAATAAAACTTCTACTAAAATTTTGGAATGCAGATTTGTCTAAAAAAGTAGGGGAAAGGTTTGCCAGATGTACAATGAGCCCCAAGCTCATCAAATCCACAGTTACTACAGAGCACAAGTCACTGAGAGGAGGATTCTGTCACTTGAGCTGGAGTGTGGCATGTGTTAGTGAGAGTCACAGAGTGTGCACACGGCCACAATCATGCTGCAGTCACTGCGGCAGCTTATGCACTCCCTCCGTGATTCTCAGTAACTCGATGCAGACTCCGGCTCGAGTGACAAAATTCTCCTCCCAGTGAGTGAGGCCGCATATGTGACTGTTTCATTTCTTTTTTATTTCCAATTATTCCTTTCATGATCAAAAGATTGGTGAAAAAATGACAACAAGGTGAAAAATTGAAAAAGTTATAAAAATTGATGTTGTAAATCAATCATAGCTGATAGAATTAGCTAAAGATGTTGTGTTTCCTTTTACTGATGGTTCTAGATTCACATAGTGTGTAATGTCATAACAATCACACCTTGAAAAAATGTGACTCTTATGTACTCATTTCTTTGTACATATGCATTCAGAGGGGACATTCCCCCGCAACCCCCCAGCTGAAGTATGTATCAGAGCCTTGCATAATTCATTGAGTATATGCTCCTGTAATTGTCCAATGGATTCTTGAATCTTGATAATGTGGGGCCTTATCTGATGAAAGGAGGCAGCTCAATCTGTGCTCTGGTAGTTTGAATAATAAATGGCTTGCGGTCTGACTCTCTGGAGTCTGCGGTGCTGTTGACTGTAGCCTGTGAGATTACACAAGGTCCATGTATGTGAATGTCACGTTGGGTAGAATGGTCTTGTGTTGTTGTGAGTGTAACTGACAAGCGAGATCTGACCTGATGTGTCGACGCATGTATTCAAATTTTGTGGTGCAAGCGCTGTCTAGCAGTGTCTAGCAATGTCCTGCAGTGTCTAGCGGAACGCCGGAATGAGCATATGTCTGACGGTGTCATACAAGTTCGACCATCTGCATATTTCTGTTTAGAGAAAGAGTAGGCTGAAAAGCACCGTAAAGTGTGCAAGCCTGTGCAAGCTCCCTCATTTTTCCTCCGAGAAGGAAATTGGTTGAGTATAGCACATTGAAGGCAAGAGTCTAAAGACATCGCCACATCGACATCCAACATCGCCCATCACATCGCCATACCCTCTGCGGCGGTGAATTTTGACAAACTTACAAACACGGAAGGATCCTTCTCCGTAAGTTTCCTCAACTTTGTCTTTGATCAAATGTTAATTTTAACATCACAATTTATGACGAGGACTTGATTTGATTTGATGTGAACTCATTTTCTTATTGAATTGTTCTAATTTGGACATCAACCCATTTTTTTGTGATCGATTTGAAGCTAATTTGAATGAATTTTAGATCGATCTTGTTACATAAATTTATTTGAATGTTTTCCCTTGTCCTTCTAAGTTCTCCTTGTCTGTCAACTTGGTTAAAAATCTGGCAGTCTACATAAGTATCTGTCATGTCCTGAATCTGATTTCCGATCGCAATCATCGTTTCAGGCTTCAGCACCGCTCGTCAATACACTTTTCCACACAATACAAGTTCCTTGATAGTATACTGAGTCTCAAACTAATCATCAGCCTGTGAATAACTCGCTTCACTGTCATTCATAGCCCGGGAAGCAGCTTGAAGTTCAGCTGTGACAACTCAAACTTCATCCTCGAATACCTCCGACAGGTCTCATGAAGACTCAATGGAAACGTCCTTGAAGACGAAAATTCGATACAACACATACTCAATTTGATTGTAGAACCGGTTGTCTCCACCTATACTTCGGTTCATTATAGTCTCCAGCGCTCCTTTGATCCGTTTATAACAGTTCTCATATCGCGACACTTCACTTCCCTCGCCACTTCCAGATAAACTGTCTTCCTCACCGCTTCTGATCATCTCATATTCTTACAGATTAGAGATAGAGATTGTCGCGGTCGAGGTCTCATTTCTCATCCTAATTTTCTTTTCGTGTACCCTCATTCCTCTATTATTCTCTCGTAGAATTTTTTTTACACTTGCTCGATAAGTCATCTCACTCCTTCTCACTCTCGTCGCGCATTCAATCAATCAGAGCTTTCTCGCTCGATCTCATCGCGATTACCGTTGAGACGATGATCAACAACGATCCCCTCACTGCTACCGCCCTTGGTGCGATCACTGCAGCTCGAATGGACAATTCTTCCTCTCCTTCTTCTTGTTCTTCGTATCATAATAATACTCTTTCACCACTTAATTACACCACATTTTCACCAATCGGCCATTCTATCACATATATGGCACCACCCAATCACCCCTTCAACTCCGCCCTCTGACGCCATCACACCTTGAGCAGTAGCTAAGGTTCAAGATTAGCTCGATTAGAAAAGCAACTAGTCTTTGGGCAACATGGGAAAGCGCGACCGTCAGTTTTATGGTAGCAGTGCAGATGGAAGTAGTCTTAGTGATTACGGAAGTGAAGATAGTGATCCGTTGGAAGCTTACCGATCAACGCCCCTTCACCTCAGTCTTGGATGAAGTTTGTTCATCTCCTTCCCTTTGATTCAATCCTCGATGATATCTCCCACTCTGGTGTATCCAATTCTATTCAATTGTTGAGAGGCCCCAAAGGCAGCGCGAGTCTACTTAGCAAGGAAGTCACTGGCTCACCCATCGAAGATCTTATCTTGAAGACCGATCCTAACAAACGCTCCAGTGATGATCATGATCATGTCGAAGGGATATTCAAACTTCATCGACATTCATCTCATCCTCTTCCACAACCAATGTTGGATTCCAATCCAAAGGTGAGACTCGACGCCATTGGTGATTCTACTCAAGATGATTACAGAAATCATCCCTTTGATTCTCAAGCCCGCCTCCCCCGGAACATCTGCGATCCTTCTACTGCCTTGAAATTCTCAACCTCTGGTCTCGCCCATATCGCTTCTTTACAGTCTCATCGTTCACCAGAAAGCACTTGGCCTCAATTTTGGGGTTGTGTTGACAGCAAGAACGATTCAATGAACCGTCACTCCTTGCTACACCGATCCAGCAGCTTGAATGACTACACTCAACCGAGCTCCGATTCTTGCGAGGACGACAACGTCGTGGAGGCTGAATCAATCAAAAATGTAAGTGACAACGTAAGTTACGCCCCTTGATCCTTGATCCGTATTCCATAGTACATATATTTGCCATTCGTTGGTAGTTCACAAAATATCTATATAGTTTTGATTTGTTTCGACTTCCCATCATCGTCTCCATGTCGACGAGTTCTTGCCACATTTTAGTTGTTGGGATACTAGATATATATATATATAATATCCTCATCCAACTATCCATTTCGAATGTCTCACCTGTTTGAGCTTGTGTTCTTCATCATCATTTGGTGCTCTTGACCACCACATCCCAAAATTGCTTCACGATTTCATATTCGTTTCTAATAATTGGTTTATATTACCTGCCGCTGGTCGCTTTTGTCCACATCTCTAGAGCTCCATCCAGTCATCACCTCTGGACCTCAGCCCAAGCTTCGAAACTACCCCCTCGCCTGTCACTCATCAGCGTTGTACGTCTGATCGGATCCCCTCGACTCATAATAAGTTCAAGGCTCTCACCTACTCAAACCTCAACTCCCCAGACTGCTGGTCTCGTCAAGCGAATATACGCGGATCTCTATCTATGAAATCTGATGCGCACTGGGCAATCAACATGGCGAACAATTTAAATGCAATCTCCGCGGGAAACAAAGTCGATGTCGCCCCACGATCAACCGATCACAACTCTATTAATAATACAACTCTTGATAGATTTTTTCAAGCCTCCCCCACGCCTACTGATCCGCTGCGCTCGAACATCGACTCTTCGAACTCTTCTGGAAACGCCACCACCCCTTTCTCACAAAACCTCAGCGTCAGCCCTATCGTTTATCAACCTCGTAGTGGATCCGCAACTCCAATCCCCAGTCCAGTCAGTGTACCCACGCTTACCACTAATCCTTGGAGTCCTACTGTCGAGGAAGTCAAAAAGCTACGGGAGCCCAACATGTTACGACAAGCTAGTGTCGATACTTTAGGATCTGGTCGCTCGGTCAGCCCAAGACCCTCGAAAACCTCTCCGGCCCTCGATTCCCCTCGATATCGCTCAGCGTCTAACGATGAGAGCAAGTCTAATGGCTCTGCCGGCCTTCATTCCAACTTCGGTCGATTATGTCTCTCGACTTCGGAAGAAATGAACTCAAGACTCAACTCGAATTCTGCTTCTCATCGACCCCCTACTGCCAAGAGTCCACTTTCCATCTCAACTTCGATGGCAGACGTAGTTGCCGGTATTGCCTCTCCTGATGAAATGGTTTCTAAGAGTAGTAGCTCTGGCAAAAAGATGATACTGCCACCATTGGTCACTAGCTTTCCTCGTCAAACCTCCACTCCTTCCGCTGGCCCCATCGGCTCCACCATATTGTCCCATGACACCGGTAAGCGTAATACCGGATCATCTTCAATCACTTTCCAGGGTCCTGCGAGTGCTGCTGCATATGTACCTCCAATCGGGCACTCCTTACAACATAACACGAACGATCCGTTTGGCCTACAAGAAAAGGTGTCTCGCTTAGGTGGTCACAACACAGCTGCCCCGGGAGTCGGTGCTTCAACCTGGTTGAGTCAAAAGGAGAGACTTGTGGGAGGCAAGCAGCCGTTCGTTTACAACCCGGAATGGGGCTCTCCTGCGCTCTCTGCTGTCACGCCTACCCATCCTCAATCTAGTGGTCCACTGTCAGCTCTTCCGCACCAGATTCAACAACAAATGCTGATTAACCAACAGTTGCAACAATTGCAGCAATTGCAAGCTCAACAACAGCTATTACGCCAGCAACAGGCTCAATTGCTTAGTCAAGGAATGGCTCTCTCAGCTGGCATCCCCAGTGCTTTGACTAATAATCTCTTTAATCAGACCAGCAGTCCCAATTCGACTTCCCCATTCAACACTCCCCCGGGCGATGGATATAACCCAGCCACCGGGTTGCAGAACAATAACTTCAATTCCCGTAACATCAGTCCTGTCGGGCCGAACAGCTCATTTCACATGGCGAATCCAACTGCCCCCAACCCTTCTCGATTACAAACTACTATTACCGGTCATCCTGGTGTCACAATGGGAGGGATGAACATGACCTCGCCGGCATCGCTTGTCAACGCTTCTATGCCCAATTCGGTTAATATGCGGAATTCGCTCAGCTCGGCTATGACGAACAAGAATTTATCTGGCTCTTCGAGTGTCGACATTCAGCAGTTAGCGAATCGGAAGGGCTACAACCCTGTCAACTTCGACTTGAACCCAAAATCGGCTAGGTTTTTCGTCATCAAATCTTACACTGAAGAAGACGTTCACAAGTCCTTGAAGTATGAAATTTGGGCTAGCACAGACTTGGGTAACAAACGACTTGATAAAGCATTTCACGAATCATCTGAATCGGGTCCGATCTACCTTTTGTTCAGTGTCAATGCTAGGTTGGTTATCTCACTATAAGCTGCTTTTCGCTCAACTTGACTAACATTTGCTTCTTATCCTTCCTAGCGGGCACTTTTGTGGGATGGCAGAAATGCTGACTGCAGTCGATTACAACACCTCTAGCAAAGTTTGGGCTCAAGATAAATGGAAAGGTATCTTCAAGGTTCGTTGGGTGTTTGTGAAGGATATTCCCAACAACGCCTTGCGTCACATCAAACTTAACAATACACCCGAAAACAAACCTGTGTAAGTTTCCAGTCCAATCAGAACAATTTCTTGCCATTAACCTCGTTCTGTTCGTTTCGTTATAGCACTTCCTCGAGGGACACTCAAGAGGTTCCCTATGATAAAGGAATTGAGGTCCTGTCGATCATGTCCGCTTTCCAATCTAGGACCACCCTGTTACAAGACTATGGTAAGCTGTTCCCTAAAACTAATGTCCGCCTTCCCAGGAACTTACACCCGTCTTCTTTACACAGCTTGGTATGAACAGAACGAGACCTTGAAAGCTCAGACTGTCGAATCCACCCAGCAGCCGCAAGAGCAATTCAAAATTAGACAGACTCCCTACCCCAAACAACCGCAACAGAACATTCGCAGATTTGTTGGAGCCCATCCCTTGTATCATTCTCAAACACCAATCGAGATCACCTCCGTAATCTGAACCACCTTGATAGGTATCAATGGACATACATCGAGCCGTTTTTCTAGTTTAGTTCCAAATTTCCTTTTTCTTTCCCTCTCACTCTAGTTTCTCTATTGTTTCAGTGCGTAAATTGTGCCTGAAGAGGATTGGGTTTCATCAAAGTTTCATCTACTCACACACTCATATAAATATATATATATCAATCAAGAACATTCTGATTTCTCTTCTGTCTGTTGGTTTTATGGTTTCAAGAATATGAATCACTTTTCTTTTTCTTTGCAATAAGTTGTGGTCTAAAGCAAGCAATTTTTCTTCTTCTTTCTCTTACTTCTACTTGGTTAGAATTGCAACTTTAGAAAACGTCTTCTATTTTGGCCTCTATGGTGTTTTCTTTTCTTATATTGTATATGATATAATCTTGCAAATACATCAAAATGGGCTCTTCTGGATTTGAAATTATATGAACATACAGCTATCTTTTGTGTTTTTTTGTTTGTTTATTGGTTCAAAAAATGGAGCTTGTTTTTGAAATGATTGTCTCAATGTCTTTCACAGCTTGAATCTTCTTCATCTTTGCGTTGAGAATACTTTTCATGTTGCTTCTTCTCAAATGTATAGACTGGCTTGTCTTGGAAATCATTGTGCATGTTGTGTTGCAGAGCGCTAGGAATTTGTTTTTTGAGCTGGTCTGCGTGGGTCTTGTTTTAATGAGAGCACGACTCATGAATTGTGGAATTACCATCTAAGACTATTTTGAATTGTACACATAGTATGTGAGGCTTAGTTAACGGTTTTGAAGGTATGAAGACCTATAAAGATTTAACATTCTAAAAAGAACAACAAATGATCACTTTCATTCAACAGATTTTAACTTCTTATGATTGTGAGAAGTATGTAGCATGTTCATCATCAACTTTGTATATGTTGTTCCTGAGATCTTGCCACAAATCAAAGTGTCACATTTTGGGTCATTAGATTGCGATGAGATCCAAAATGTTGTCATATTCAACCAACTAGATAAACTGATTTTGTGTGTTTTTGTGATCCCCAATACCCATCATGTACAATCTCTATCAAGTCTTTATATTTCACTTTTATCAATATTGTAGAGCCTGTGGATCAGTGTGAAGCTTTGAGGTATGATATGAATGACAAGAGCTTGTCACATCCTATAGATGGTATCCTGGGCATAGCAATTCTCCAGCTTGGCTGTAAAGGTCTCTTCATGCAGCCTGGACAATACAAGGCCAAAGCAGTTCCACTTAGTGGTCTTTCTTTCAGGCTTTGTAAAAGCTAGATTAATTTTCCTGTGGAAAAGGGGCATTGGATCATTGGGATGCTTTGACTTTCAAATATAATCACTGCTATTCATCACATGAGGATGTGTACGAATGCAGGGGTTCTGTTGATTGATGGCTTAGGTTGCCTTGTGTCAAAAACGCTTTCAAACATCCAGTCTCCTGCCTCATTGAGGTCTGTCTTAGGATCATAGTCTTGGTAGTTAGTATAACTGTCTACCATATATGAGTTGCGCACAAACAAAACTCAATTGCTGTATGTTTGACTGCTGACAGAGACATTAGTTGTGTGGCTCTCAAAGCACTCACCTCTTCCTTTCTCACTTGAAATTGATTTCCAAAGGACTCTAGCTCATGCATTCACAAAAGCAGCACAAGCAATGAAGAGGGTTCATAGCAAAAGCTCTGTCCCCCCCTCCTGTGTCCCTAAGAGACTCAAGTGAAGGTATCAATATTGTTGGTATTGAATGATCCATGCAAGCACTTGTTTTGTTGTTGGCCAATTTACTTCAGCTTCTTTTCACTAGCGATTCTGAGAAGTATGCTCATGGGTACATGTCCCATTACCATCATGATTCAATAGCCACATTCAAACCAAACTGCGTTGCCAAAAACCCAGGTCCACCCAGTTGAATGTTTGAGCTGTCAAGAGCTGTCAATAAATGTTGACTTGATACACAAAGTGACCACCAAAAAAGACTGGGTGTACCAGGTTCTTTTTTGCAACTGGGTTAGGCTTGAACACCGCTATTGTACAAGGGTAACAAGATCTGTTTCAGAAATTAAAGATCATATTCATGTTCACTAACCACATAACTTGGTCACTTGGCCACCTCCCAGATGCTATGATTAGATCAGTATCAAGTAGAGACATTTTTGTCAGTTTTTTCCTCACTTTTGTGACCAGGTGAGGGCCTCTTGAGGTGGGGCAGAGAGCAAGAGAAAGGTGTGTACTACATACTATGGTTATTGTGGCATGGAGAACAACCCAAAGTGAAAAGCTTGGCTCTATGGGCACACAGCTGGCATCTCTCACATGTCATGGGTTGTGACATTGCCATGATCTCATGTAAAGGATCATGGCACTATGTGGCTCTTTACACCCAAACTCCCTCTTCATAGTCAGACATCTTCCCCCACCATGCCTGTGTGGTGTTTGCTTGAAAAGCGCACATGAGTCGCCTTTGTGCCTCAAAGGCAGTCTGTGTGCGCTTAGTGCCCAGGGCTTGGCATCAACAAACCTGGTGGGACAGGCTTCAGCTCCCCTCTCACCTTGTACTGATCCCAAGCCTCAACCACTATTTGCCAAGTAGTGGCTGGCCCAGCCCCTGAACCAAAGGATAATAAAAATCCCCAAGCCTGTTCAACAATCCCTGATGGAGGCTTTTTTTGAAAGAAGTGAGCGCCCAAACCTGACTGGGTTATTGCCCAATATCCAGTGCTGGGTCAAAAATCATGACCCGCCCTGGACTTGAACCTCAGATGGTCCAGTTATGAAAAGCAAAAAGGCATCCTTGGGTCACATGCAAAGTGCTGGCCCAACAGATGCAGGGTTGCAGCAATGCTGCACAAAACTCAAAGGGGGGTCTTGGAAAAGCAGGAGGTCAATGCGGGGTCAGCACAAGGTGCTGGTGATCAGTGCATCTTTTGTAGTCAAAAATATAAAGATTATGTGGTAAAATTGTGTTTTGGTCAAAATCAAATTTAGTCGTGAAGTCAATGATTAGAAGGGGTATTAACGTTGCTTATAAATCAAATTTTTATTATCATTTCAATCATATATTAATTACATAATTTGATAAGAACAATTAACAGAAGACAAAAAGTCAAAAAAATAATAAAATTGTGAAAGAGTAAAAAATAATTAGAAGGATTAGTAAGAATGGAATTCATGAGGAAGGAAATTGAGTTTGTATTCAGAAGAATTGAATCTGTTATGAGAAAAATGAAAGAAGAGGAATAAAATAAAAAGAAAGCAAGAAAAACTCAAATTCATAGGTATCAAGGGTTGGAAAATGGTTTTGAGGGTATTATTTTTTGGTTTGAAGGCCAAAAAGGTTAAAATGTGAAGTAGAAGGATTATATTAGTCAGAAACCACTTTAATCATGGGTATTGATAAGGGAGGAGTGAAATTATTCAAGAAAGAAGGAAATTTGAGGATGGTAAACAAAGGTACTATGGGATTAATTCATATGCAATGATGTCATTGAGGGATTTAAGGGTGCCAAGAGTTTCAAGAGTGACTTTTATATTATGGATGGATTGATCAAGGATTATCTTATGATGTAGAAGAAACCAATATTAGAGCATCCACAGTGGTGGGCTCCAAATTGGGGCTCCAAATTGAGCAAATTCAAATTTGCTGGGGCCCCAAATCAATCCGGATGCAGTTGTTTGGGCTTCAAAAGTGTACATTCTATGTGTTTACCCACACTTTGAGATTGGTGTGTGTGGGCTTACATGTGTGAGTTATGGGATTGAGCAAGGATGGGAATTTGGAGCCCGGCTTTTTGTTGCCACATTTGTAGCCCAAAGCTCAAAATTTGAAGCTGGCTACAAAACATTGGCAATGGGGACCACGATTGCACCAAAAAATTGGGGCTCAGTCATCAATTTTGGCAATAGCCCCGATTTGGAGCCCCCCGCTGTGGATGCTCTAAGATGTGAAAAGGAGTGAAAATGGTCAAAAATCATTGAAATTGAAGGTGTCCAGCTAATTACATATGGCAAAACTTGTCAGATAAGGATTGGTGATAGCTCAATGAGCTCAGAATTTTTCATTTCATGTACATTCTTTAAAACTATAGTAACAGAGGAGTAGTGAAAGAGTTATAAGGAAATGAAGAAATGGTGTGAATTTTGACTTTTGGCATTGTGCTTACTACATGTAGCAGCATTAACATGACAAAAAGCTTATTTTATCAATCTCTACAGCTAATAACTTATTCATCACAGATCAGAAGTAGGTCATAATGGTTCAATAAATGAGCAGCATCAAGAGAGCTATAAAATGGGCTATAGTAATCCTAAATTGGACAACTTTACACAAAAGTTGTAATTCTAAAAACAGTTTTCAGCTATGGATATTAGGACAAAATCACCTGTATACATCATAAGAAGATTTATTCATCATTTTTAAACATCAATTGATCAATTTCACAGCTCAAATCATGGCATTCAGTAATAAAAATTACATCATAAGATTATATCTGTGGGTTTTTTTGAAGTTTTTGAGGTTTTTGTCACATTTTTCTTGGTTTTTGAAGCGTGTTTACCATTGGTAATATCGTTTCTTAGGTGTTGTAAAGCTCTTGTTGAGCTTCAAATACTACAACACACTGGCAGGCCAGTGACACCCACTCACTAAGAATTTTGAGATGGCTTTCATTCAATTGTTTGACTTACAATAAGGAGTTTAGAACATCTTTTGGTACATGTTTTGACCAGTCAACTGGATCTTGACTGTTTATTCAATATTTCTTGCACAGTCATGGAAAGGATCTACACAGAGACATCAAATTCATAATGAGCTGGAAACTTCAGTTCCCCATATGCACTCTAAACCAACGTCATTGATGGAGTCCAGAATTCATGTCTCTCAAATTGCTTAGCTACAAATCCTTATTGTCTACAATTTTAAATCAAGAGTTTCCAACCAATATGGATACCCAATTGCCATTGCGACAACATACTATGACTGTTCAACACTGATGATATTTTCATATACATGTCATCCACATCTTTGCCTTGCATAAATCCCAGGCCAGACCACAAAAGACACCACAAAAGACAATCAAAACTCACCAGATTCATCAATTCAACTGTTGAGACTGTTGGGTGTTCAATATCAAAAGTACATTTTTTGTTCTTAAAATTTCAATCTCACTTATTGTGACTTTTTGTTTCATTGCATGCTAATTGGATTTGGTCCTCATTCCAGCTTATAAACCAGCCAAACGTAACACACTTCCACCATGGTCTTCATCACACCCCACATCAATCATTTACTAACTCGCATTCCAGAAAATCAAAATCTCATTGCATTCCAACCAATTCTCCATTTCCCATGCCCCAAGACTGACTCCACTGCATCAATTCTCCCTGTTGTTGTACAAATTGTTTAAATCTGTGTCCTGGAACATCTAAATATAAAAATAAAGGTACTTTCATGAAGCAAGCCCTTGCAAGACCTTAGAAGACCTTACAAGCCCTGTTCCCTGTTATCTGGTCTGAGTTAATACAGTATTTCCAAATTGGTGTCTTTTTCAGTTTTTAAGCTGTCCATTAATATCTGGCTCACTTTCGTCTGCGCATGTTGTGAGCATTTCCATCACTTTCACCATGTATCCTTGCAATTTCTATGGAGATTGGAGTTGCCCGGCGTCAGACTCCGTGGACACAGTTCTACAATTTTTTTCTGACAATAAATATGCTTATATAATAATCAATGTAAAAACACATGACTTCAGCTCTTGTCAGGACGGTGGAATGCTTTCCAACTACGAAGTTGTTGTTGGATGCTTTTAGATTCTAGGCAATTTGAACTCCATCTTTTTTAAAAATCCACAATTAATATCTCATTAACTTTTCACAAATCGGAGGAGCTATATAACAGTTCAAAGAAAAATCACAACTTGAAAAATGAAACCACTTCAATAAAAATAAGAAATCTTAATAGAAACCAGTACTAGTAGGACGAACTTATATTTAGTTAATGTTAGACAATGGAAGTGATTTTAAATTATCAAGTGGTACCCTACCCCCACCTCGAGTTGCATGAGTGATCGAAGCTTCAGGTACAGCGGGACTCAAAGGAACGTCAGAGAACGGACCGTCCAATTCGCAAGTAGAGCCAAGGACCATTGAAACACCTCCACGTGTAGCACTTGGGCCAGATACATCTCCAGAATGTTCAGTAGCGTAAGATGGTGGACGTTGGAAGTAAGTCGAGTGATGTGGGATGCCAATCGTCAAATCGCGAGGAGCATATAACGGAAGGGTATTACCTGTTGCAGTGGAAGATGGTCTAGGTGTAAAGTTGGATAATCTGATATCGGGAGACTCGCGAGGTCGTCTGAATCTCTTATGGTAATAAACACAAAGAGACAGAAGCAACGAAAGCACAATAAATAGCAAAGTGGCAGCAGAGATGAACACAGCGATCTTGATTGCGTTGGGTAATGCGGCATATGAACCACTGAGTTTAGGTTGTGAGGTTGGGATTGGGATCGGGGATGCATCTGAGATGGTAGTCATCTTGTCGATATATGAAGTGATAATAAGTCGTGAGTTTTTATGAAGATGTTAAAGGCTAGCTTGAACTTCTTGGTGAAATCGAGGTGAACGTTCGTGGATGATTGATAGATGTTCCCTCTGAAGCTCCTTATATATCTCTCTTTTCAAACACCTCAGCAGTTGAAGTGAAAAGTCGTCATACAAGCAAACCGGCTCATCCTGACTCATTCATATTATCCTTACGCATTTAGTGGACGTGAAAAGTAGCGTGGAGAAATGGACATTTTTTCACCGATGCATTTCTCAAACATCTAGAGTGAGTCAAGAGAAATGATACACCATTGATGGACCCTCGTTAATTCTTTTCGCTTTTCAAAATAACGGATGTTCATTAGCTCAATTAGCTTTTGGAAAAGATCTCAATGAATATGGTTTTCATAAATGTCATCTACGGTGTGGGTCCATTCTATCATTATACTAGAGCTTGCGCGGGCAAGCCCGCCATGAGCCTTAAGGGCTACAGTCATGCAAAAGAGGACCAACTTTTACTCACCTTGAGAATGGAATGTAATCTCTCAGCAAAAGGCAAGATTCAAGATAAATGAGACGTAAATTGAAGTAACCCCTTTGAGATTGTGGTTACAACAAAAGATTGGATACTGGATTAATTGGAGGAACAAATAATAAGCTCAAACGCGAACTTGCATTACATGGGAGAGAACATATAGGAAACAAATGAACTGCATTGTTCAAAATTGTGAGGGAAATAAAAGTGTGAAGTATGAAAGAAAAAATGTCATTTGCGGGGTAACAAAAGCAAAGAAATTGGGATTGGGATAAAAAGTTGATTTCTTCATCCAAAGGCGCTATATGCCAATAGACATGGAACAAAGGTTCACTTAGGGGCATATGAGACCAACCAACTTGAGTATGAATGCATTTGAAAAAAAGTGAAAACAGCGCGACAGATTCAATGTTAATGCTTTTGTTTAGACATATTATATCATATATGCAACACTCGGATGAGGCAGTTGGTAGGATGGCAAGATAGAGGACGTGCAAATACAACTACTGTGAATGTCGAAGAGAATGATGACGTGTTGTGGATGGATTGGGAAAAGCATAACCTTTGATGATGATGTCAAATAGTGTTGAACATTCATCCAACTTCTCAACTGGTGAGGTACAAATTGTCGAAACCCATTACTGTTAAACAAAAGAACAGCTGAAAGATGTCTACTTCTAGAAGTGGATTGTTGAATGGGATAAAGACTTAAAGAGGAAATTGAGGATAGTGTGCATCAAATGAGATCAGATGCGGTCATAACATAGGTGAGTAGTTTGTTACATGAAGGCAATGTAGCAAGCTTTCATCTGGGATTGAGCGCTTTTGAGTTAGTTCCGATGTCTAGTTTAAGAGTCGATTGGATTGAATGCAGTCACTCCTGTGATTCCCTAATTTGGACTTTCCCTTTGTTTCTTATTGTACGCGCTTTTAGCGCATTACTCTGCTTTTATGCTTTTCATTTCATTCTATTTTCTATTCTCTATTCTCTTTACTTTACTTGTAAACGGATCTTCCAGATCCGTCCCGATCATGTACCGCCCTTTCAAGTCACTAATTGTAGACCGAATCCAGCAGTACCGGATTCGGCCATAACCCTCCTCCACTTATCTTGTATCACGATGATCGTCGATCATCTCTCGTTGTATCACCAGATTGTCGTTTCCTTATCCGTACCTCACTCCGAGATGCTCGCGTATATAAATAGCTCTCATCTCCCAAGGAAATGCAACCTCAAGTTACTTCCTACTTATTTTCCGCCACTTGAAAGTGAGTAGAATCACACTCCAGATTGCTTTTATATCATGACGTAGGTGATTAATATTACACAAAGACAATGTAAAAAGATTACTCTGATGATGGATGCTTTTGAACAGTCGGCAAAACCTGGTTTGACGGTTTGAATGTAGCAAAAGCCCATTTGATGATCGATTGATCCAACGTAGAAAAAAAGGAAAAGCACGACCAATTCAAGTTACTTTTCAAGAATGACGTAACATGACGTTGTGGCTCTTTGTTACACAGAAACGGTATACAAAAGATTTGATTTTAACACTGAATGCTTTTCAGTGTTACGGGCTCAATTTGAGTATATAATCGTTACAAAAGCACACCATGATCGTTTTAAAAGCACACAACATGATCGAGGAAGAGAGTGGAGGAGGAATGTTGGACGCAAATGGGGAACAATAAGTAAAGCAGATAGCGCAGGAACAGTTTGTGAGGGGGGGTAAAAATGTATAAATAGAGGGCAATCTTTCAGCCAAATCAGAAATCCGCATGCCACCCTCGTGACTACACCCTAGAAAGTGAGTCAAATTCGAGCTCTAGCTAAATCTGGTATCCTCCCGCCGAAAGGCTGAAACTCTTTTACAAGTTTCAGTGCTTTCGGGGGGGGGATTCCAGATTTAGTTTTAGGAAATCAAGTAACCTCGAGAGGAGATATGAAATTGCTGCTATAATGACAGTAACTGATCACTGGCTTCCAAAGCCACTCATTTCACTCGTTGTATAGGAGTCGATGTAAAAGCAAGCTTGATCCCTTCAGTGAAGCATGATCTCGATTTCAAACTTCAAGAAAAGATTTATACATGCCCAAGTGAAAAAAATAATCGCATCCATTGGATATCGTAAAGTTTGAGGTCTTTTGAGATCTTTTGAGATATGAGAAAGGGATTTGAAACACTTAATCTACTTTTGTACAAACAAATAGGCAAATTCAAGTTCTTTCCCTGGTTCACACCAACGCTAGGTTGATCAAAACTTAAAGCCTCATGTGCTAATCTCTGCTCAGGAATTGCTATAATTGATCCGCATTCTATCTTATAGATTTGCACAATTTGTTTTTCACCAGAAACATTTAACTTTCCAAAAGCTCTGGTATGTGCTTGTACCCGTATTTTTGATTGGTAAATGCTGTCCATTGTAAAAATGATTTTGATTTTTTTCTGGTATGGTAATTATTCATGACATTATGAACTGATCTTGTTCTGCCAACACTTGAGAACTGTCTTGAACTTGTTCAAACTTCATAGAATTAATCATATCTTACTTTCTTCAGAAAGTTGAGGTATATTCATAAAAAAGTAAACCTATCCAGTAGTATATCATGACAACAAAAGTCTCTCCTGGTATGAATCAGGTCATTGAGAATGAAGTTCCTTATCATGCTTTTGAAAAATTGGTTCATGTCCTTTTGTAATTTGACGACCCTAGAACGTACCGGTTTGCCGGTCTTACAGGACGGTCCAAGCTAGGTAGACATAAGCTTTTCTGGTAAGGTTAAGTACTGAATGAGATAAATTTGAATGAGAAAGAGACTCAGGAAAGAAGAAAAAGAAAGAAAATTAATGAAGATGTCGAATTCAAGTTCTGCAAGTCAAAGAACGATTAGTAACACCACTAAAGAGATCATTCATCAATTAAATCAAACTCATCAATCAACCAAATCAATCCATCAATCTATTCCATCATCACCACCATGTTCATCTACTTGTACTACTACTACGACTTCAATTCAAAACTCTAATCCTAACTCAGATTCATCTTCATCTTCATTACCAACTTTCAATCATCATCATCATCAATTCATGAATTCATCAATCTTATCTAATCATAATCATAATCATCAAGGTAGTAGGACTTTTAGTAACAAACATCATGCTCAAATTATCGAAATCTTGGCAAACGTAGGTTTAGGATTTCAAACAAAAAACACTTTTTTTTTATCAAGACTATCTATGTTTTTTTGATTTTTTTGATAAGTTGACTTTGAATTCTTTTATTTCTGGGTTTCAAGATACCTAATCAATCAACCCATGAAGAAAGGAATTCGAATAAAGAAAGTCTTTCGACTAATCCTGTAACTCGATTTGAAGATTCATTGTGAGTTAGAAAATGTTTTACAACCATCGTTTCTTTGATTTGGAATCCAATTCATTACTCTTTATTCATTGTCAAGTACAAGAACTCAATCTGAATCGAATTCAAAATTTCATTCTATATAATGTATCCACTAATCTACCTTGCTCTTAATCTTTTTTTTCTCCTTCATCAGTTAATCTACATCAAACTTCCCTCCAAAAAAACCATAAACTGATCATGTTCTTTATGTGATGTTCTTTTGGATGAATCGTTTCATCTTTAGTCATCCTACTTTACGATCAACTCAATCAACACATGTCTCAAGTCCTTCATCTACCCGTCCACATCTCAATCCGAATCTGTTTTCCTCTACATCACAAGAAGAGCCCTTAACAATGAACTCGATGATCTCTACTACTACTGGATATCATCCTTCTTCCTCTCAATCTCTTGATCATCAAGCTCAAAGAATACCATGGTCAAGCTCGCATGAAGATGGTTCGAATGAACGAGAAGAGCCTATTGCAGGCTCCTCACATACTCATTGGAACCCACCTCGATCTAGATCATCTTCACCACATAATCAAGACCCTCAAGCTGATTCGAATCCATTACATTCTACTACTACGGAGATCAATCATGAAGATGAACTTAATTCAAAGATTGATAAGAGGTTAGCTGAAGCTTCTACACTTGCTTGGAATGATCATGTAACTGGAAACGAAGGGAGTGATGCTTGTACGAATGGGAATGGGAATGGAGAAAGTGTGGATCGGAATTCAGATCAGTGGAAACAGAATCGAAAGAACAATCATGTAAGTCTAAACCTATATTTGTATACCACATCATCTTCAGATTAATTAAATGGTTTTAATCATTCTGGATGGAGAGAATAGAAAGAAGTAGAACGTAGAAGAAGAGAAACGATCAATGAAGGTATAACCGAATTAAAAAAGATAATCCCAGGAACCGAAAAAAATAAAGGAGAGATTTTAAAACAAGCAGTGAAGTATATCCAAGAATTAAAAGAAACTGAAGAAAGGAATCAAGATCGATGGAGATTAGAGAAAATCAGATTAGAAGAATCTATACAAGAACAGAGTAATAAATTTGAAACTCTTTCAAGAGATTATCTTAATTTAGAAGCTGAGAATGAAAGTTTAAAACGTTGGATCATCGAATTAGGTGAAAAGAAAACTCAATCTATGCCGTTCAGAAGAGTTCGAGAAGAACAAGAGGAAGAAGAAGAAGAAGATCATGATCATCAAAGAGTTCCTAGTCGAACTTCTTCTGAACCTACTAGAATCGATCCACAAAGGAATTCGACATCAAATAAGACCATTCCAGCGATTTATATTCATAATCCTCAACACCAAGAAACCGAAAGTAATATACATCATTTACTTAGGACTGAAACAGAAGAATTTGGAATGAAACGGTCTACCGATAATGATGATAATGATCAACCAAATTCTTCAAAAAAATTTAAACTAAACTAATCTTACTCTTCTTCTTTCATATCGTGTTCTATTCATGATGATATCTTCATTTTTATTTTATACTTGTAACACATTGTTTTGCTTTGATTTATGGGTTTTTTTTTTGAGATGTATACAAATTATAGGAAAGAATGATGATATATCAATACATACATCAATATAAATACTTGCATGCGTGTGTGTGAATACGGAAGTGGCGGAGAAGATGGTTAATATCCACTTTTTCATTATCCAGTTTTGAATCTCGATCAATCTTTTCACTTGATCAGTTTTTGATGAGAAAACATGAAAATAAAAATAAATAAATAAATTTGATATGAATTCTTTTAAGCCTATACACGAAGCAAATCAGAAAAATTAGATACTTATCAAACCAGAGAAAGACCTGGCCATTTTGATATTGCGTTGGTGAGGATATTAAGACTTCAACAAATAAATTCTCATCTCTCCCTGCACGAAAAGATTTTGGTGCTGTACATACAGAGTCTAGACACTACTAGTACCATAACATGCAAAGGGAACAATCAACTCTGAATACATACATAATCAACTCACCATCATTCACACTTCTTTTGAATAACACTCAACGCATATATCCACAACCAACGAGACAACAAACTCTTTTCTTTACACTTTATCAACCCCATCAAATGTCCAAAATTGATGATCCGATTCCCTTCACGGCTAGATCATTTTGTTTGATTAGAATGCATAAGTGTTTCGATTGCTACCATTTGTCCTACAGCAGTCTCCTGAAGCTCATGATCAATGGGTCCACACCAGAAAATCAAATCAAATCAAATCAAATCTTTAGTTTACAGATTCATCAGAGGTTCAAATTCTACAAGTTGAACTTGGAATTATTTAATGATGACACTCACCAATGCTTGGTGGTCTTGTACTATTGATGTAAAATAAACCATATTAGTGTTGTTTTTTGAAGTTGAAACTACGTAAATTTATAAAGATAATCAAAGCTTTGAATTTTTTAACTTACTTTGTTGGTTTTCGAAATTTTCAACCATTGTTAACTTTTCTCTCAAAAGGTTTTCTTGTACTTTTGCAAATTCAATCTATTTTAAAAAAAACCAACGGGAAAAAAAAAGAAATGAAATGAAATTGAATGATTCTTTTTTTTTTGGAATATTCATACATAGGATTTTGAGATCAGATGTAGAAAACTCACTATTCCGGACTCTAACCAATTTTCAAACCCTTGTACAATTTGTTTCATTTCTATCAATACTTCTGTTTATTTTTCCAAGATTATCAAAAAAAGAAACCAACTCAAAGTCAACATTAATGTTATGAGGTATAATGAAATCTTTGGATTGTGGTATGAAGACTGACTAACTTTGAGCATTGATCAAGTCTTTCTTTGTACCTTCTAACCAAGTAGAAGTAACAGATCCAGTATCAAAGATATCCATACTACATCATTCAAACCGATCCAAACATCAATGAAAGATATAATAAAAGAAAAGAAAAGATTTGATAATTAGGATTGCTTAACTTGTATCTGATGGATGATGATGAATTAGAAAGACTTTGATGATCAGAACCACTATCACCTTTTAAGGTTGAAGAACAATTGGTGTTGTTTGAGTTTTCTGAAGTGTTGTTGATCTCATTTGAAGATGACATGGTGAGTACATAGATTTATGTACAAATCATTCTACATCAAATGGTCAACAAGAGAAATGGTCAACAAGACAAATGCAGAAAACAGATTGAAGGTGTTACATGAGCTGGTTCAGTATAGAGATATTACATATCAGTGTTGGTTTATGTATGCTAATAAGCAAGTTCAAATCTTTTAACCTAACTCATTTGCAATAATTTTTTAAATTTCAAGTTTTCTTTGAGTTTGATTTCATTCAATCAGTTTATCGAACAACCAAAATATCAAAATCGAACATTCTAAAAAATTGGCGCAAAGAATTAATCATGTCACAACATTCACCAATTATCTTTTCAGGTATACCTTCATGTGAAGATGGAAACCAAAACCTAAGTTTTCACGAACTATCAAGCTCAATCCAATTACTCCAACTCAAACCGACGCCTTCATCTTCATTTTCAATCTCAAGTACAACCGCCAACCAATTACCACCACGTCAATCGATCGTTTCATTACCTTCGATCAATTCAATCGGTTCAACTATCATTTCGATTGCTGGAAAAGATGGAAGGAATGGATTGATGGTTTGGACAAGTCTTAATAATAAACCAACACCTACTTTAAAGTTAATTCCTCCTGGAAGAGTGGTTTGTATTTGTACGAGTCTTTCGGGAATTTATTTGGCTGCTGGTTCGAGTGATGGAACTGTTTTGATTTGGGAAGTCAGTTATTTTGAAAATTGAAAATCAAATCTTTTCTTTTTGAAGTGATCTTTTTCCTTTTTTTCCCGAAATAAAATCATATTGACTTTAGATTGATGTTTTTCTTAGATTAGCTTAGCACTGGAATCCTTTTAGCTAGTTTTGATGCTCATTATAAATCGATTACTTGTCTTCGATTCACGGATGATGATGCTGCTCTAGTCACTGCAAGTGAAGATTCAATGTGTAGTGTATGGTCTTTACCTGCGTAAGTCATTAGAAAAACAAATCCAACTCACAATCACCATTATAATACTTATTCTTGTTATATTTTTCAGTCTTATAGATGAAGGTGCTAATGCGAATATGTCATATGCACCTTATGTATTGCTTTCGGATCATACATTGCCTATCTCTGATATTCATATCTCTCATGGAACTTTTCCTGATATTCGAATCTTTACGGCAAGTTTAGATCAAACAATCAAAGTGAGTTTAGTTCTCTTACACTTTTCACTCGACAATCTAGATCATAGTAACTTACTTTGATTTTTTTTGTATCAAATCGAATTAGATTTGGACTCCACTCTACCCTTCGTGTCCTCTTCTTTCGACTTTTGCTGTTCCTGGTCCTGCTCATCACCTTGCAGTTGATCCATTAGAAAGATTTATCTTTGTATCTTACCCAATCACTACCCAATCCTCTGAAAACCCCTCAACTCAGAATCCCAAATCTGGAACACCAGCTACTACAAGTCTTAAATCATCTGCATCTATTTACTCAGCTTCGACTGTAAGAGTGATCCCTCTGTTCAGCAAACCAGCACATGCAGCCCATCAAGGTGGCGCTTCGTTAGTTCATTCATCAAATGGATTCATTCATCAAACTTTACTGACAGACTCAAGTGATCCTACTTATACGAGTCCACAAGATACATCTATCACGGCACTTCATTTCCCTTCCTCGATCTGTTCTTCACCTATGCTTCTATGTGGTCTCAGTAACGGAAAGATCATTCATCTTTCGATCCCATCACTTCAACCTCTTGGCAGTACTGTTCCACGAACCGGTTCGACAGGCACATTCGAACCTGTAGTTCATATCAGTGTATTTCTTAGACCGAAGGATTTAATGATGAATTATTCTGGTAAGACGACTGGAATGTCAACTGGAATGAATCATAATCCGTCTAGCCCATCATTGGTGTCTGCTAGAGTGATTGGTATGTTGGGTAGAATTATTGGTAGGAATGGAGATATGAGTCGAGTTCAATCTAAGCAAGGACAGATCTCTGATCAAGTTTTGTTGAAAGATCGAAAGGTGATGATCAAGTTTGGTAGAAAGATGAAATACTTCAATGATGGGTTTGAAGATGATGAATTTGATTTACTAGGATTTAATCAAGTTTCCAAATCAACAAGTTTAGTAGTAGGAAGTTTGAATAGGAGTGAATGTATTGGAATCGGGAATGGGAATGGAAGTTCAACAGGAGAGATGGTGAAGAGATTACAAGAAGAATCGATGAAACTTAAAGAACAGTTAGGACAAGCTTTAAGATTAAATGATGTGATGTGGAATGGGATTGTACAAGGTACATTGAAATTGAATGAGAATGAGAATGAAACTGGATGAATGACGGAAATGAAAGCAAAAAGGAAAAAAAAGAAAAGCCTTTATTTGTAGATTACGTATACATAGAGATAGATGGATGAATTCGAAAGATTGTTTGTTTCCTTTGATGTCATATCATCCATCATGATCGCCATGATGATGATGATGATTGAAATCAATTTGAATGTGTTTGAGAAATAATTGAGTATTGGATCATCATCCAAATTTAATTTAGGATGTAGAAAATCTTCTTGATATCTATTGAAGAAAAAGAAGTTTTACCGTTTACGTGAAGTTGTAATGATTCAACATGAACAGACTGTTTTTGATTTGATTTGGTTTTAGAATTACTTACCTACTTGAATGTATGCAGTAACTGATGATATTGTATATGTCTTGGTTAATGTTTGGGTTTGAATAAAATGTGACTTGACGCTGCGCGTTGGTTTTATAAGTTTTGGTTTCGGGATGATAGAAAAAAAAGCCAAGATATGATAGACCAAATATCTTACGGTTTGGTTTGAGTGAAGTATAAGTATGTATACACGGAAGCAGAGAGATTTTCTCATTTAAACAGATATTGAGTTGAGCTGATGATCAGCTTTGAGAGGACGTGACGCGTTTGTTTTGGTTTGTTAGAGTTGAAAGCTGGAATGGTTGAGCTGAATATTTATCAAGGATAAGATATCAAGTCAAGTCAAGCAAACTTGAATCAGTAATTTATTTTAAGTTCATGATTGGTTCTTTCTATATAATTGGTTTGTTGAGATTGTGTTTTAGTTGGTAAAAGAGTGGGTCTCATTTGGTATTCTTGTTAAATCGAATTCAAACTAACCAACTATCCTGATTCAGCTTATCATCTCAAGAATACTTTTCAAATCTTTTCTTAATTCTTTAATTCTCGATTTGATTTGATTAGTTAGTTCTTTCATTTCATCATGCCACCACGTCGTAAACCAATCGAAAGATCACAAAAAGATAATAAACAAACATCCATCGATGCATTCTTCCTCACTCCTTCAAAGAAACCAAAAATATCAATTCAACCTAATCAAACTCATCCAAAATCGAAAGCAAAATCAAATTCAAAACGAACCAATCAATCTAAATCAGAATCAAATCCAACTTCAACTTCAAAATCAAAACTTCAACCAATCTCATTAATCAACTCAAGTCCCATCACTGCTGAACCTCATGAAGCCGAACCTGAACCTGAAGCTCAACCAGATCTCGAATCATGTACTTCTTTAATATTCAATTCAGCTACTTCTACAAACACATGTCCAACTTCCATCAACGAAGACCAATTATCTTCTTTTTCTCCTTCTCCTTCTCCATCACCTACTAATCTTTCACTAGAATTTAATCCGATCTATGGTTTACATCATTCTTGGTTAGGACCCTTACAAAGATCATTCCATGGAATCGGTTTAACAAACTTACATCGATCGATTTGCAAACCTACTGATCGAATCTATAGTAAAGGTGAAATCCCTCATCGTGATCCGGGTAATACGATTAATCCTCCCTTTGAGATGCTCTATAATTGGAGTCATCTTACTCCACTTGATCAAGTTAAAGTCGTTATCTTGGGAACAGAACCTTGTAAAAAAGAAGCTTTCTCTCATGGTCTTTCGTTTTCTCAATCGGTTACTCAGAAACGTATCTTAGGTACTATGAGTAGTGTGAGTGTTGGTTTTCTCAAAAAGTTTTTTTTTTAAAACTTGTTTCACAAAGAAATTTTTTTTTCAAATTTTTTCAAAAAAACTTTTCACAAAAACTAATTTCTTTTTCATGATTTTTCTTTTTTCTTTTTTTTTAATAAATTAAGATTCATTATGAACTTTCTGAAGAATTTCCAGACCAATCTTTCAAACCTAAACATGGTTCATTAGTTTCATGGGCCGAATCAGGTGTCTTACTCTTAAACATCATTCAAACCACTCCTCGTTCACAAACTTTAAATCATCGTGGGATCGGTTGGGAAAGATTCACAGATGTGATTTTGGATTTAGTGAACCGATTCGGTGGTAGTTCGATCAAGGGTGCTGAATTTGATGATGAGGTTTGTTTGAGTAAAGGACTTGTGTTTCTTGTCTGGGGTGAATTGGCTGCTAAAAGGATTCATCAATCTGCTATTCCAAGTGTTTGTATTCTTTTCATTCCATCATCTAGAAACCAACACTCAAACTAATACTTGATTTCTTTTCTTTTCTTTTTTGGTTTAGTCAAATCGAAATCATTTGATCTTAAAAACAAGTCATCCTCAACCAAGTACATCACATTTAGGTTTTATTGGTTCTAATCAATTCAAATTAACTAATGAGTTTTTAGAAAAAACTTATGGATCTCAATCTAAGATTGATTGGTGTAAACTTGAAGCTATTGATCCGATTGATTCTTTAAAAAGAAAAAGAAATCATTAATGGTTTGGATTTGATGAATTCAATTTCTAAAAATGATCAATAATGTGCTTTTTTTTTAGTTTTTTAACTCCTTTTTTTGATTTTTTTTTACTTCTTGAACATTTTTGGATTTTACTTGATTAAGGTTTTTTTGGAAATGGTTTTTCTTTCTCTTTTGGTTCAAATTTTAATTGATTTTTCTTATTTTAGAATTTAAGCTTTTTAGGATTCAAGAATAGGATCCAAAAGTTGTCAAGAACCAATTGTAAGTTGATCTTCAAAAACGTTCTTTTTTCTCAAAAATTCAAATTACTTTAAAAAAATTTTGTGTACTGCAAAGTAAATTTGTGTACTGCAAAGTTGTTTTTTTGATGATGATGATGATTTTAAAGATGTTGTTGATCATTCTTCTTTTTGATAAAAGTTTTTATTTCTTGAAAAATTGTAAACTTTATATTCAATGATAAAGAATTGTAATCTTATTGTTATGAATCAAGGAGAATTGTATGAGTTTGAAGTCTTTGATTTACTGTTGCATCATATCTGAGCAGGAGCTACCGACCATAGACTACAGAAAATGTGGCACAACAATGGAGATTCAGTTCTACAAGTAACAGTACCTGGTGGACCGTAGTACAGGCAGGGAACCTACGATTTGTCACAAGTTCAATATATGTCAAGGCTCAACTTACAAGGTGAGTGAAGGAAATGAAGAGCCTTGTATGACTGTAAAAAACGAATAAATCGTCGCGGTGAACCATGTTTCTACACAAGCACCAGTGTTGGGTTGATTTGAGTCGAGTAGTCGAAGGCCAGTTGAAGGAACGAGTTTATTGAACTCAGTGCATCGTCATGCGTCATGACTTGGATCAGATCCTCAAGCTGGTAAGGACACAAGGCAAAAACGAATATGAGTCATGAGCTTCCGCTCTCGGTAGGTATGGCCCGGCCCGCCGGAGGTTTGGTCATGCAATAGGCTCAACTAGAACACCGAGAGATATGCATGTCACATGAAGATATATTGACACTCGCGTCTGCCAAGATTGATGGTTTCAGAGTGAACGGCAGAAAAGTTACTGTGATCGCGAACAAAAAATTGCTAAATATCTCATTGAGAGCTCATTTCATAGAAAAATTATGGTGTGTACATCAAGTGAAGAGACCGCTCATGTGGGAACCCAGTGCGAGCTTAGGGGCCTAATTTTGACTTGTGCATTATAGCTGGATTGTGGATGTCGAATGGCGATGAATATTTGATGATTGCCCAGTAAGGGTTGAAGAACTGAGGAGCAAGTCCCGATCAACTCAGCACAATCAGTCTGCTATGATCAAACTAGACAAAATTGAGTCAGAGCGCACATTACCTACTACATACAGTTTTAACAATTTACATCTTTCTTTACATGAGCTTTGGTGGATCTCCCCACTCTCCCCAACACTTTTTCTTTACAGCGGCATTTTCCAACTTTACCCCCTTGCCCTCCTTCTCCCACGAATCAGTTCTCCACATATAAACTTTCCAACTTTTAATACTTTCAAAAGCGTCTTTTGACATCCAAAATGTAGCTTCCTGAGCATTTACCCTCCAATGGAATGTGCTCACACAATGTAGACCGGTATCCCGGATCTTGCGTGACTTGGGATCCACTTCTCTTCCTTCGTCCATTAAAATTGGTCGTAAGTTTCGGGGCGGCTTTCCAAATGTTTGTTGATCGTAGAATACGAGCATCGAATGTGGGGCTCGACCATCCCATATCTCCAAACCAGGAAATTTGACAGTGTACTCTACGATATCCTCGATGCGAGGAACAGCCGAAGCTATAACGAGTCCGGCACGTAATATTGAGCGCCACATTCCTGTCAGGGTCGCGAACTCCAGAGTCCACGGTGTAGTGGAAAAAGATCGTGTTGGGTGTATCGTGTCGACGTCTCTCGGAGTACAAACCTATCATCTCACAGTACATCAGTAAACGATTGAAGATTGATCCAAGTGAGGTGTAATCAAACTGACCTGTCGCGGCGGTGGGCGAGCAGTTGTGTTAATCTTTCCCGACAGGATGGACTCGATCAGATTAGAAATCCAGTGAGCCGGGTATTCCAATTCAGACACGCGCATCACCAAACGAAGAAATGCAGTCATATTGTGCGGGGAAAAAATCATTGTTGCGTCACCTTCAAGCTTGGTACGTGGGTAAGGAAGGCAGATTTTAAGAAAATAGGCGTATAGCCAGTGCAAAAGCTTCGTCTGAGGCATAAGCTGTTCGAAAGTCATGGGCTGTTGTGGGACACGTTCCCAGATTAAGTACTGGATCGTGGGCATCGGGCCTGCTGTCTCCTCAGGAGTTTCGGAGGAAATCTTCAACTGAAAGTGGGAGCGGATCAAGTTTCGATCGTACATGAGAAGGTACTCCGAGAGAAAGTGTGAGACGGTTTCGAATTGGGGCGGGTTGCGAAGATTGCACGAGTTGAGTCCGGTTCCTGGGCCATATTCGAGGAGCGGCGCACCGCACAGGAAAGATGTGAAAGGACCACCAACGTAGTCACTGATGTTGTATTCAGTTAGATCACTTGGTCTGTTTCTTGGTAAGATATGAAGCAAGATTAATACTTACGGGATATTGCTCATATGGATGATATGATATTTGTGCGGCCACTTTGAAGATGTCAAGTAATCCTTGGATTCAGTCTCCGTGGAGCGGTCAAAGGTTTGATATTGCATTTGTTCGAGACTTTCGGCCATCTCTCCGAAGCAAACCTCTACCATCATACGATCGCGAAGGCTAGAAATAGCTTTGCCGAGCACCATGAAATAATATTGTGCGATGCTCATGAGTGTGTTTCCACTCGATCGGGAAGTTCCTTTTTCGCCTAGAAAGCCCATCATAAGGTCCCTGATGATTTCGAATGGCGAGAAACTCATGTCCGGGTGCGGCAGAGATCCAGGCCTGGTGTTTTCATTCTCCCACACGATATCGGCCAGCGTAAGATTGGGTTTCCATTGACTGTCAATATGAGCAGACAAACGCTCTTTCACACTATTGTCGTTCTTTCGATAATCCTTGATCATCGGGAGCAGGTTGGGATCGCGTGCCATTAGCAGCTCGTCAAGGGGTAAGACGATTGAGAAGTTTTTGTAGACACGTTGGTCAAAGTGGAGGTGGGGAAACGATTGTTCCGGATCATAGTCTCCTCCGGTCATGCTCATTATGCTCATCCTAGTTTGAAATTCATGTTGCTTGATGAGCTCGCGAAAGCGTTGAGTTGAATATAAACTAGTTGGCCCTCGTTTCCAAGATTCGAGCCAAGGTCGGATCGTTGCCTGGACCGCGACTGGAACGTACACCCAAGATATCGGTTGCTCTGAATTGTCAAAGCAGTCGAGAAGACGTTGGATAACTGCTTGAATTCGATCCCAAGCATAAGCGGGCATAACTTGAGTCGCATAAAAATATGATGCTACATTGAGTGTCTCGACGAGCTGGCAGGATTGTTCTTTTCCCAAGTTGGACTTTTTGTCATCGGTTAACCCCATGGTCAGAGAGATATCGTCCAAGAGGGCCAATAAGATCAAGTCGCGTGCTATGATAGCGGGTTTGAAATCCAAGATAGTAAGATGTAGCCTTTGATCAGACTCGTGAGACTTGGGGCCAGACACATGATAATTTAGTATAGTTTGCAGCATGTTCCGAGCATCGCCAATTCCGCAGAACATAAGTGATACAACTGGCGCGTTTTTTGTTGTTCTCCGAAGTGTGGGGCCATACTGGGGCTCCGGAACATCGTGGCCAGAAGGATAGTAGCTTTTCTCATTAGTCAAATGAGGCCTGTATCTCGGTAAGCGAAAAACAGTCTTCCGAAGTGACTCCTTGGCGATAGAGTCGTCGGGCTCGCAGTGGTATCGCTTGGCTTTGGTGAGGCGAGTGAGCAACTTTTGCTTTCGAGGATCATCGTCGGCCTCTTGCTCCAGCAGAGCTAGAGCCTCAGTAGAATACTGTATGCTTTTCTCGTACTCTCCTGTCTCAAAAGTGGCGGCGGACAAATTGGATAAGGGTGCGGGGTCCGAGGAATCGAATGTTGCAGCTAGTTTGTAGGCTTTGATGGCTATAAAGAGTTTACATCATCAGTGATGTCTATGAGAATGTGAGAAGATCATTATAATTCCTTCGAGATGTAGTGGGTCTTGCCATCATTAATCCTACCAGCTCTGTAAAGCTCGTTCCCTCGCTGGCGGGCGTCTTCTGCTCGCTTGGTGTTCGATGACATCTTGAATCATGAAGTGGTCAAGAAAGATTTGTAACTTCAACAAGTTTCGAGGAAATCAAACCAGACATATCGATCGCAATCAGGTTATGTATCTGAACTTAATTACCTATGTACTTAACTCGTCAAATCGTCATCATCAACCGGGAAACCGCGCCAGAGGAAAGAAAGACCATGACGTCATAACGTATAAGTGAGTTCCATGATATCCTTGCCAAGAGGGACTTGTGACTAATTTTTCGAACAGAACAAGAAGTCAACCTTTTTTTGGGGTCCATGCATACGCAGCTGAACCACATCAAAGGTTGTTTTGTTCCGTTGTGTTCATGACAAAGGTTCTATTTGTGAATGATCATTTTTATCTTTTCTTATTTCATGTAAATTTAGGCAATAGTAGGAGAGCTGAAAGTTTGTCAGCTCTTGAAGGAAGATCAGCTACAGTCATCCTTGTAAAGCTGGTCCCCCAACAATTGTGACCAAAAATTTGAGAGATCAAAAGGAGTGGGCCAAAGAACAACATATATACATGCAGGGCCATGTTAACTTGGTTTTCATTGACCCTTGATTGATGATTGTAAAGATTAAGTCTGAGAATTACAGAGATACTAAATTGAGAATTGTATATAAGTGAGTCTTTGATTTTCCCTTGGTGGAAGCAGCCACAAAGTGCTATAATCTGGCCTGATGTTTTTTTTGTAAGATGATTGTGAGAGGCCCTTGAGCTGCAAATGAGCACATATATCACAGAATACTGCTTTCAAAAAACAGAGCTGCTGCTTCTACTGCTATGCCACTTGATTCCCATATATATACTACATAATAGTTGATGGGATCATGTCAAAGTCAAAACAAATTTGTATTCTCATGGTTGATTTAGTGAAAAGTTAGAGATGAGATTTTAGATACCCTGGTTGCATTTTTTGAGTGCCCTGTTGAAGGAGGGCAGAGAGGGGTTTACTGTGCAAAAATTTCATGTTGTGCTTTTGCTATTAGTCATAAACCAGAGGAAGTTGAAATGTTTTCTTATTCAATCTAAATCAAGTGAGAGAGTACAATTTAGTTTCATGCTTATTGTTGGATTATATAATTGTGGACAAGTGCATAGTAGATATTGTCACTACACTAAATGTAATCTTTACCGGGCCGGTAAAGATTACATTTGGTGTAGTGTGTATAGATCTACTACGAGTTGCTGCATTGCATATGTTGGGAGGTCTGGGTGGTGTTTTTGATTACTGTGGTCCAATATGATGTGCTTGTTTTTGAGCATTGATGTTTTCTTTACACCCAAGAAAGTCATGTAGGGAATCTGGTAGCAGTTTGCACTGGCAGGAAACACACAATTTGAATGGTTTTTTATGGATAATGACCAAGGACCAGGTGGTGGATTGCAATCTGTACTCAAAAAGGAAAAGACAGAAGAAATTGGAAGTAGATGTTTTTTCTCAATTGTTTTGGGTTGGAGTCTTACTGGTTGAAAGGCCTGATCTTTTTGAGAGAGGCAAAATTCTCCTTGTACCTACCACACAACACTTGTATATGATTTGTTGTCAAGCTGCCAAGGATTGGGCATGTTCCGGGGCTACTGCAAGGACATGATGCGGCAGAAAGTAAGTTTCTATGAGCAATTAACAAAGCGTGAAAGGTTTTCAGGCTTATCAGAAAATATCTGGGGACTGCTGTATTCAACATTAGATGAAAGCTGGGTGACACTCTTAGAACTACCTCTACATTTATTATTCACAGGGTTTCTTAGCCTCTGACTCCTAAACCCACAAGGCAGCACAAGGCATCCAATCTCTTCACTGTATTGATGGTACATATTGGGCATACATTGCAGTGCCAGAATTTAATGGTTAGGAGATGCAGACCAGGCACTCTTCAACCTTTTAAAGCAAGCTGTAACTCATACCCAGGTCCAAAGCCCAGTACCCATATTTTTATGTGCACCACTGATGGAACGTGAGATGGGATGCGAGAAAATTTTGATACACAGTCAGCAGCTCTGAGGGTATCTCAGGCAGGTTGTAACTTGTCAGAAAGTTTACCCGCATATGGTCACCATGAAGTATAAGCTGGTAAGCGACTTGAGCACAGAAGCCTATATGGGCTTCGCTCTTGGCGGTTAGTATGTAGTTTGGGGCTACATCATACATCAGAGTCAGCTCGAGCGTAGGAATGACGATGTATGCATGCCGTATCGAGGCATATCCATGATACTCGTCTCCCAAGATTGATGGTTCCAAGCCCAACGATTTTTTTTGTGTTTTTTTCATGAACGACAAATTGCTAATTGTTTATTGCGAGCTCATCACATGGACGATTTTTATAGCAAGTAGATTGAGTTGAGAGACTTTTTGACTACATGACGAGTATAAGCTTATCGTCCTGAATCTCTTTTACAAGCTGAATTAAAAATAACGACTTTTCAATCTCGGAGCAAGTGATTGCACGGTAAGTGTTGAACAGCTGAGGCGCTAGTAGTATTGCTCGAGAACGATCAGTGTGCTGTGATCAAACTAAGAAAGAGTACTTGGACATTACCTGCTACATCTTTTTCGAAAATTATATCTACATATACTTTGGTGGATCCTCCCACTCACCCCAACACCGCTGATTTGTAACCGCAGTGCCCAACTTCATTCCTTTACCCGCCTCCTCCCACGAATCAGTTCGCCAGACATAAATGTACCAGCCTTTTAACCTTTCAAAATCATTTTTTGACATCCAAAAGGTGGCCTCCCGATCTCTTACCCTCCAATGAAATGTGCTCACACAATGTACACCCCTATCTCTGAAAGCACGTGACTTTGGATCCAAATCTCTTTCGTCGTCCACTAGTATCGGTCGCAAGTATCCAGGCGGCTTTCCAAAAGTTTCTTCATCGTAGAATACTAGCATCGAATGCGGGACTCGAGCATCCCATACCTCCAAACCTGGAAATTTGACAGTGTACTCTACGATATCCTCGACGCGAGGAACATCGGAAGGCACAACGAGTCCGACACGCATAATTGAGCGCCATAGTCCGGTCAGGGTTGCAAGCTCTAAAACCCACGGTTTGGTACAAAACAAGGCTGTTGGGTGTACTGTGTCAACATCTTTGGGAAGGAAAACCTGTCATTTTGTAGAACATTAGTAACCGATTGAAACTCGGTCTGAATTGAATTCAATGAGACTGACTCGTCGCGGCGGTGGGCGAGCAGTTGTCGCGATCTTGCCCGACAAGATGGACTCGATCAGATTCGAGATCCAGTGAGTTGGGTATCCCAATTCGGACAAGCGCATTACCAGACGAAGAAACGCGGTCATATTGAGTGGGGAATAGATGAGTGTTGGGTCATGGTCTGATTTGGTGCGTGGGTAAGGAAGGCAGATTTTTAGGAAATGGGCGTGGAGCCAGTGCAAAAGCTTTGTCTGAGGTATAAGCTGCTTGAAGGTCAATGGCTGCTGTGTGATACGTTCCCAGATCAAGTACTGCATCGAGGGCATCGGACCGGCTGTCTCCTCGGGAGTTTCGGACGAAATTTTCAACTGGAAGTGTGACCGGATTAACTTTTGATCGTACATGAGGAGGTACTCGGAGAGAAAGTGAGAGATAGTTTCAAATTGCGGTGGGTTCCGGAGGTTACATGAGTTGAGTCCTGTTCCTGGGCCATATTCGAGGAGCGGCGCGCCATAAAGGAAAGAGGTGAAAGGGCCACCGACATAGTCACTAGTGATAATTTTAGTCAGATGGCTCGTGCTACTTCTTGGTAAAAAATGAGATCTACACTCACGGGATATTGCTCATGTGAATGATATGATATTTATGCGGCCATTTTGACGATAACAAGCAATCTTTGGACTCGGTCTCTGTGGTGCGCTCAAGCGTTTGGTATTGCATCTTTTCGAGGCAATCGGCCATCTCACCAAAGCAGACCTCCACCATCATACGGTGGCGAAGGCTAGAAATAGCTTTGCCGACGATCATGAAATAATGATGCGCAACGGTCATGAGTGTGTTTCCTAATGCTGATGAAGTTCCTTGTTGACCCATGCAGCCTTTCATAAGGTTGCCGATGATTTCGAACGGCGAAAAACTCATGTCTGGGTGCGGCAGACACTCAGGCATGGTATTTTCTTTCTCCCACAGAATGTCCGCCAGGGTGACGTTGGGTTTCCATTTGGTGTCGACATGCGAAGATAGACGCTCTTTGGCACTGCTGTCCTTCTTTCGGTAGTCTTGGATAATTGTGAATAGCTCGGCATCATGTGCAATTAGCAAGGGTTCAAGGGGTAAAACAATCGAGAATTTTTTGTAGACACGCTTGTCAAACTTGAGGTGGGGAAATGTTGGGTCTGGCCCAAGTCCGCCCCAACGATGCTTATCAAGCTCATCTTTGATTCGAGTTCGTGCTGTTTTATGAGCTCACGAAAGCGTTTAGTGGAATATGGACCAGCTGCCCCTGATTTCCATGATTCAAGCCAAGGGCGGACAGTGTTCTGGACGGCGACAGGAACGTACACCCAAGATATCGGTTGCTGAGATCTGTCGAAGCAATCGAGAAGTCGTTGGATGACCGCTTGAATTCGATCCCAAGCATAAGCAGGCATGACTTGAGTCGCATAGAAATATGATGCTACACTGAGTGTCTCGAGCAAGTTTCTGCATTTGGCTTGGCTCAAGTTGAATGTTTCGTGATCAGACAAACCCAAGGTCAGAGATATGTCGTCCAATAGAGCGAATAAAATCAAGTCTCTTGCTAGTATAGCGGGTTTGAAATCCAGAATAGTAAAATGGAGCCTTTGATCAGATTCCTGAGACGTGGGGCCGGAGGTCATATAACTCATTATAGTTTGTAGCATGTTCCGAGCATCGCCTATCCCGCAGAACATAAATGATACAACCGGTGCGTCTTTTGTCGTTCTCCGGAGTGTGGGGCCATACTGAGGCTCCGGAATATCGTGGCCAGAGGGATAGTAGCTTTTCTCTTCAGTCAGATGAGGCCTGTATCTCGGTAAGCGTAGAAGAGTTTTTCGAAGCGTTTCTTTGGCGATAAGATCGTCGGGCTCGCAGTGGTATCGCTTGGCTTTGCTGAGGCGAGTAAGCAATTTTTGCTTTCGAGGATCATCATCGGCCTCTTGCTCCAGCAGAGCTAAAGCCTTAGTAGAATACTGTATGCTGGTCTCGTAGTCTCCTGCCTCAAAGGTGGCAGCGGACAAATTAGATAAGGGTGTCGGGTCCGAGGGAAGGAGTGCTGAAGCTACTTTGTAGGCTTCGATGGCTATAAGGAGTTATCATCAGTGCACTTTCACGAAAAAATGAGACGGTCATCATGATTGCTTCGAGATGTAGTGAGTCTTACCATCATGAATCTTACACGCTTTGTAAAGCTCATTGCCTCTCTGGCGAGCCTCTTCTGCTCGTTGGGTGTCTGAGGACATGTTAAAACATATGGTGGTGAGGAAGAATTTGACTTCAGGAGTCTTCAGCGCGAGCGAAGAGGAATTCAGCGCAAGGACCAAACTTACCTAAGTGCCAACGCTGGACCTAACCACTTGGGACTTAGTTAAGTTCGCGCAAGGACACCTTTTCGCGGGAGGATGTCCGGACCGTCCTGCGACAAGACATCGTGCTGGCATCTCAGGTCGGGGCATCACTGAGATGTCCTCAGAGTGTGACATCCTCAGTCTATCTCTTGGATGCTGTGGTGGTGTCCCAGTTGAGGACCAAGCATGACATCCTGAGCTGTCCTTGTGACTGCCATGGGGCGGTCTGAAGACATCTTGAATGGCCCCAAGGAGGTGTCAGAGGCAGGATGCCCTGTGGATGCCTTGCAGGAGACCGTCTCAGAATGTCCCTCCCGCTGCAAAACACCAGGACATCCCAAAGACATCCAAGTGGTGTAGGAATGCAGCGTCATTGGTATACGCAAATGCTTAACTATTGAGCCACAGATCTGGCGATAGGTAAGTTGACAACCTTTGGCTGCATCCTTTGAATTACAGTTGTCACTGGATATTATTGTAATCGAAAGAGTGGGTCAGCGGGGGATACATTTTATAAGTTTAGTCCATTCTGCTTTGTTTGATGTCATTCTATGAATTTGTTCAAGATGACAACTGAGTGATTTAGTTGAACCTTTTGTATCTTCAGTTATTTCACTCAAACATAAATCACCAGCTGAATGCTGAGAAGGAAGCTGGCAGACAAATTTGATCTTCCTATCTATGATAAAAGGTTTGAAGTATGGCCGCACCCAGGAAGTCCGTTTGTTCTTTGATTTTTGGAAATCTTCCAAATGTTTTTGGAGCGCTGCCAGGCTGTTGGGTGAGCCAGATTTATTGTAGGGATTTGAGTGTGAAGTGTTTGAGATTCTGTGCTGAGCTATTGAAGGAGAACTGAGGATGTTTCTCCTTGAAAGTTGGAGATCAGAGCTTCTATATAATTGCAAGATAATGAAAATGAAGTATGTTTCAGGCTGCAGTGTGTTTCAAACTTCACGTGTTTCAGCTTGTGGAGTTTCATTCAACCCGGGCTGAGCAAGGGTGCCATGGTATAGCCCCGGCTGAGGAGGGCCTTTACCAGTGGAGGCTCTGTCTATCAAGGGCTAGAGCAGGGCATGCCATACCGGGTGCAGCCATGGCCTCTGCCATGGCCCTGGGCCCTGAAAAAAGCACCAGGTGCAAGCGTGAATTCTAGCAGCACACGTGGTGGTGGGGCTTGGGGCGTCAGACAAGGCGGTTAAGCTGGGAGATGGTGATGTACTTGTGGAACCAGCATCTGTAGGGTAAGATGAATAGGACGGGCATCAGTTTTCAAGGGGAATGATCTTAAAGAAGGAGGAAGTCTTTGACCTGATCTGCAAGGTGTCCGGAAAAGGTTGTTGAATTTATATTGCATCCCAGTGGATGAGTCCTTGCCATTGCAGTTGTCCCTGGCTTGATGGTAGGTTTGTGCAGGACAGGATTAGTAGATGGCATTGCGGCAAAAGATCTGGTGGGTCTTGGTTGAAGCACGTACTTTAGACATTGTTGGTAAGCTTGATTGAAAACATTCTTGTCTGTGCAGTAACCCTCCTTGATCTTGATAGTGGCACATTTCTTAACACATGCAGGAGCGGTTGCCGGGACTTTACTGGAAGGATCACATGTGGCAGTGGAAGCAGGGGATGACGATGAGGTAGTTGCTGTGGGAGCAGGTCCAGAGGAAGTCATGGGAGTTGGGACTGCTGAAGTGCTTGATGCTGTGGAGCCTACCCAAGACGCAATATTGCAACAGTATTAATCTTTGAAGGTGTGACAGCTGGGAACCTGACTGGACTGACCAGATTTGCAAGATGCCAGGCATATATTGTCGTACTTGAACTTCAGTCCTTTCTGTGTGTCCTGGGGATTGCAATTTTTGCTGGAACACAAGAAGGGATGTGGTATGATGTGTTAGCTGAGAGACATGGGCAAAGATGGGGGTGGGATGGGGGAGATGGATGGACAATCTTGCTCAAGGCATTATTCGTAGGTCTTGCTGGAAAGGCTATCCTTTTCACAGAAGGCTGGTCCCTTGGGAGGTCCGTGACTGTACGTCCACGTCCCCCAGAAATGACTGTCAATCAGCCGCTACACACATACCTCATGGCTTATGACGGTTTTGCATCAACCTGTCCCCACATTATCTTCCACCAAACACCTCCACAACCTCACAGTGAAATATGATGTGCCATTTCACTAAAACCCCCATGACCACTAACCCCGATACACGAACCCGCAACCCTCTGCCCTGCCAAACTCAACTCCCTCTCCACGCCTCGTGTCATACTTTTTGTTCTCAAACTACTCACCACCACACCAACATCACCATTCTGAAGAGTCAACAAACAAACAAAATGCTTTTGCAAACGCTTGTGGACACCCTTTCACGTGACACACCCAATTTATACGCCACCCTCCAAATATCGGAACTCACCCGACTGGTCAGTTTGTCAGCGGAAATCTTTGCTCTCACCCACGGGGCCTGGAGCTTGTCAGCCGACTCCGACAAAGTCATACCATTCATACGCCTTGCATCAAATCCATCACTTTCTTACCACGACTGTCGTCGCCTGTGGAAAATACTATTTCCAATCTTTGCTCAAAGCCGTGTCCAGCCCAAACTCTTGATCCAACAGCACGGCTATTCACTGCAGACATTATTCGGGTTCCCCAAGTGGGCAGGGAAAAATGATTGGGAGTATGATTTGTCATAAAATGGTCTATCACTCTACACCTGAGCCATAACACCCACACTACATATGTGTAGCAGGCTCAGTGAATATGTGGTTATCATGTACATACAGTTCTGCTCAGTTATCTGCTCATCAGGACAAGTTATTCATATGTAATACATGCTGTAACTTCTTTCAGATTGAAAAAAGCTTCCAAAAGATTGACTACATACACTGACTCAATGTTTTGGTGTGATCTCATCAACTCAACTGCATGTAACACACTTTCTGTTACTAAGACATAGCTTCAACAATATTGCCTGAGCAGCTACAGAATTATATGTAGTGAATTTTTGGGAAAAAAATTTCAAAGTCGAAAAAGTTACATGTGGTATAACATGTGATTTATTTATTCTGATGGGCAAAAAACTGAGCAGACCTGTATGTACATGATAGACAACTATTGACTTAGCTTGCTGCACATATGTAGTGTGGGTGAAATGGCCCAGGTGTGCAGTATTAGATTCTTTTATGAAAAACTGTACTATTAATCATTTTCCTCTGCCAAATTGGGGAAGTTGAATGATGTTTACAGTGATTCCCAGGCACTAACAGTACAAATACCCGAAGTCTTCCTTACGCCTCCTGTGAAGAATTTCTTAGCGTGCCCAACGTCAAACCATTTACAACATTGGTCCCAAATTGACAGGTACTTGTATGATGTTGATGGCGTCCATACAGCAAGGATATTCATGATGAAGTGTCCAAGTCAGTGTGCCACAATCTTTTCTAACTCTTACTTGGGCTAATTCCGTACTTTTTGGTAGAATGCACCACAGCCTATCGACCCAGCTATTTTTCCAAAGATGGCTTAAGAACATACTACTCTGCTTTTGATGGTCGCCACAAAGACATCTACCAGATCAGCTCCCACTTCTTCATGACTCACAGACTGGCCGAAATGTTCCGTAATGGCCAAATGCTTGCTCAGTGAGTACAATTTCCCATTAATTGTGCCAAATGAAGAGTTGATTGTTGTTTTTCATCTCAGCACATCATATTTCAACCTGGCCAACTTGTTCAACCTTACATACGTTGATGATGTCAAAATTTCAACCCTCAACGGGGCTCCAAAAGTCCAGCTGTTCTTATCCACGGCGACTTGCGGTGACGGACTCAATATACATAGTCTCCTTCAGCAAGCCGACTCGTTTGAAGGTCATGTGCGCGTGGACGCAAGCGTACAGAGCAAGCAACGCTACCACGACCCAATGGAGGAAGTATTGGAATGGATAGCACTTGAAGGGTTGAAGCACCGTGACCATGTTTGCTCGGGTTGTGTGCGATTGGTTCCTCTTCCAAGGGATGATAGTGATACCCCCAAAATAGGCTGTACGTGACTCAAATACTGAATGTTGCGTTTCAGTATTCATGTTTGTCTTACTCATTTCATGTGACATACTAACTCAATCCTGTTAATTGTAGATATTCGTGCTATAGTGACTGATGAAATAACCATAGGTCATTGGAGATGCTCAGCATCCCCTGAAAAGCTGCGTGCTTTAGCTGTGACTGACCAGCAACCACCTCCAGATGGACCCTGCACCGCTCGACTTGCAAGGGTCACCGATTGATTTTGTCCTGAACATCAGAAACGTCTAGGTAAACTCTGCCTTGCTCAGCCTTGCACCAATGACGCTGTGGAAGGGCTCGCAATGTGCAACCTGGAAGAACATGTCAATGCCTACATGAAATTCAAGGCTTGTGTCACATTCAACTTTGTGCTCACCTCGATGCTCAATTGCCCGGTTTCCAACCGACCAGCTGACCCTACGGTACATCAAGATTGGAATACCGCCAAACTCATTGGTCTTGACAATGTGCAACAGGCAGATGAGGGCGATAGGGAACACGATCAGGCTCGCGAAGGTGATGCACTCCCCAAGACCAAGGGAAGTCGAGTGTGCCTTTCTCGCAAGCGCACCCACAACGACCAATTGGCTGTTGCCTTGTGTGGGGTTGTACTGGCCCGGGAGACTTTCTACAACGCTGAAAGTGTGAGCGCTGTTTGAGTAAGTGCCTCTCACATCGGCATCTTCCATATACTATGCTCACATCTTGACTGTTTCCTTGTAAGGAATTCCTGTTACATACCTTTCCGAATCAAATGCCTCAGGTATGTTTCTATGATAACGCCTGCAGGCTGGTTGAGCACATCTACCATAGTGGTGCACATCACAAGGCGTTTGCCGACACAGTCATCCCTGTCAACCCCTTCCATTTCCGTAGCCACAAGGACAGCGCCAAATTCTGTCAGCATTACACTGATCCAAAGCTCTTCCCCGAGCTTCGTGACGAAGGAAGATGGATCTTCAACTCATCAGCAGCTGAGACGACCAATGTCTGGTACGGAGGGTTTGCCTCAATGGCTCGAAACATGACAGCTGTGCATTTCAACTTTTTCATGGAGGAAATGGTTGAAAGGAGAAACGACTGGCTCATCCAAAGGCTACAAAAAAGGGAAAATATAACCTTCATACACCGTGTCCATGTAGGGTTTGCTTGTCGACGAGCGCACACCAACTCCCTTTGAGGTAGAAAGGAAAGTCGTGTGCGCTCGTCAACGAGCAAACCCTACACAGACACGGTGATAGGTGATATGTCGTTGTGAAACAATCTCTGCTCAAAATGTGTTTGATTCAGCATCATTAACACATTTTTCATGTCAAATGCTGAAAAGAAAATGTAGAAGATGTATTCCAATTAGGTCTATTGAAGTTATGATTTTGCAATTCATTGATTGTATTGTGTGATCTTTACATTGATAAGGAACATGAATATGAGGTTCAGCCAATGGCCACATTTCGCGCCTGTCTGTCCAAACGCTCTAAACACATACATTGTCTCCTCTTGACCAAATCACATTGAACCCCAGCTAAAAACCATGAAAACAATTGTAACTACATGGGTCAAAGAACAAACTGTGTTTTAAAGCAGTTTGCTTGAGGTTATCGCTGATGGTCTCAACCTTTCTAGTGCCACGCCTCCACATCCACCTCACTGTCAACTGAGGTATTCGCATCTGAGTCGGTATTTGAGGGTGTTTGTTGCCGGCCCAGGCCTTGCAACCAGCAGAATTTTCTGCACACGTGCTCTTGTAAAGATGTTGGGATGGTTCATCGTCCAAAGTTACCAATGGTCCATAAGTTCCTGAGATTAAGCAAAGAAACCGGCGTTAGTCCAATCACCAAACAGATTGCTCAAATATAGATACTATACTCACTCAATGTCATGAATGTCTGCTTCCGTTATGATTGGCCCCACTCCTTGGAAACCCCCAATCGCACTGGTTCCACCGCTCTGTTCATATGCCCAATGAGAGAAAGCCTCAAGTAGGAGACAGATTGGGCAGTGCATGTGCTCTTCTGATGGAGGATTGAAATTGGTGTCGCATGTGTACTTTTCACGTGGCCCCAAGATTATCTTTTCGGCAATGAAGCCTCCAAGAACTCCTTGTTTGTTCTGTTCAGGTGGACTCTGTTTGAGATTGAGAATGCCCACTAGACTCTCCTGGAACTGTTTGCAGTCAGGTTCAAGGTCAGATCAAATTTTGAGGGCACAATAGAAGGATATATTCAAAGTCAAGGCTGCTTACCCTCAGGCCTCAAAGGGCACACCATTCTTCTGAGGTGAATTCGGTGGATTCCAAGAAGTCAGTTGTTTCCAAAAGATCCATGATCCTGTTTCGAAAACAAGCCATAGTACTTGTAGCTACATGATGGTTAGTTTGTGCAATACCCAAATATGTGCGAAAACCAACCTCATGGGTATCAAATTGGCGTACCCCAACTTCCATTTTACGAGGCCCATATAAAAGAGTCCCTTGAAACGTGGAGCGACTGTCCCATCTATGTATCAAGACCTTGCTTATTTGTAAATCGGCAGGACGCCCGGTGAAAGCCAAAGTCTCAAACTTTCCTGGGTCACAAGTCAGCGCAAAGATGGTTGCGTTGCAGTTGTTTGGTTGAAAGTCCAGCGGATATCCTAACAACGGAAGAGTTACATAAGATTCAGGGTATTAAACGCCTTTCTCGAGTCATTCAAAATATCCTCTAGTGAGTGAAGGTGATCCCACGTGCCAAGTCAGCTCGGTTCTTTCAAAACATTCTGAGTTGGAACAAGAAGGTACAAACGTCACAAAGAGCGTGCAACAACACTTTGCTCTTGTATTCCGTCTCTTCCAAAACATCAGCTTCACAGACATTCAAACATTCTGACGCTTTTGGTGAAGAAACTTTGGCATATTGGTTTGTTCGAAGAAGATTAACTGGTGTGTCCTCCATCATGCTATTGTGGAAGAACCTTGTCAGTCCAGTCCAAGTTATTTAATGAATGAAGCGGCTATGGAGCTGAACATACCCACAGTATAGATCGAGAGTTCAATTAGTAAAAAGGAGAATAGCAATCAAGGTGGAAGGAAGGCGCAATGAGCCAGAATGATCAAGGCCATTATTTTCTCATCATTCTCACGCTTCCAAGCCAGGGGGCAAACTAGATTAGGCGCATAATATTGCTCATGCAAGCTCATCCCTTGAGCTTACAGTGAGTAAACTGTAAGCTAAAACAGGTGTCCCTTTTCATTGTTCCTCATTAAATGCAACATTAACAATTGGAGGCCAAAGAGCCTTGATACTCGGTTGTAACTACTTCAAGCTCACATGGTATGGTACATACAACTTTAGGTGTTGGGTGAGTCATGAACCAGTTTGTTTTTGAGTGGGATCTTTGTTCACGTACAAGCATAAGAATCTTGAGAGGCCATGCAAACCAGTTGAGATTATAAACCCACACTGGAACCATACTTTGACAGGCCTGACAGGTCAGTGGAAATCTCCCATCATTTTCGCAGTGAAAATTGAACTTACACAACTCGTTTGGGGGGGGGAAACACTGACGCAATATTAAAAAAAGAACATATTGACAGATATGGCACACGTAATGTCAGTCCAGATACAGATAGGAAGACAAACAACAAGGTTTTAGATTATTCACCCAACTTCCTCTTCTTGCGGCGGCATTGGACCTTGGACGGTTCCTCACCATTTTGGTGCAAACTGGACGCTCCCTCACCATCCTGGCTAGGTGGAGGGTCACATTCAGACTTCTGTCCGGCTTGGCGGAACTCCGCCTTAAAAAAAAGGCGCGCCGCGCGAGTGCTTGTTGGTCTGCCGGCGCTGCTTTCTACCTGTTGCCACGCGGCCAAACGGTGGAGCTGGATGTTGGATATCCATTGCCCGTGGCAATGGATAGTTGTGTCACTGGGCTTCAGGAAAGCTTTGCCAAAACAAACTTTCCAAGCTTTGACTCGGTGCAGCGTTGAGGTGAGGTTAAACCATTCAAGCAAGTTTCCCATTGGCGCATCTAGGTCAGGCCAACCAGTCTTCCTTGCGGTCATCTGTTTATTTAACCAAATATTCAAGTGTGAGACTAATAGACAAGGTTCGCAAACACCAAAAGAGGGAGCGTACATTGGACGTGCCATTGGGCGCTGGGCCTGCGGAAGTTGCATTCGTTTGAGGCTTACTTGGTCCCTCACTTATGAATATAACTTCATCATTGCTTTGTCCCTGAGCTCAAGACTGTTTGAGTGGTGGGCAACCTGCCGGCGGTGGTGATGGTAGGCCGTTGGTGTCGAATGGGGGACCCACGAGATCTTGAACCGCTGCGGAAGGCGCACCAGAAGGAGTAGTGTTTTGAAAGTCGTGTTCTTTGCCCTCGTGCAAAGAATGTAGGTAACGTAAGAGGCGCGGGCAAGCTGCTGGTGGAATTTCCTTGAATTTTACCAAGATCTGTCAAGGATGCATGGGGAAATGCTGGGGCGTGTCAATAGCGGTAGTGGACTGCATGCAAAAAGATAAAAGTTTTACTTTTGAGAAAAATCATAAATCTAAACGAGTGTCATTGTGCTCACCCATAAGTCAATGGATGGATCCCATAAGCACAACTCGCGTGTCCATGTACGCCCTTCGGAGAGACCGGCGAGCAGTGTTGCCTCCTCTACTAGCATTGTGCATTGCTCGAGTTGGAAAAGCGGCCACTTTGGACATTTGAATGAATAACACGAAGGGTCTTCATCCGGCTGAATAACACCAAGATGGATAGTCAGTCTCAGCTAAATAAGGGATTTGTAACTTCTCAACGATCAACAACTCACCTTGAGCCATGCAATAACCTTCACAACTTTCGATTTGTCCGCCTCAAGACTTTTCACCATTGAGAATTGTTTCTCCCGTGCAATGCGTAAGTTAAACATGCGAGAAAGTTGGGAAGGTGTGAACTCTCAAGCAAGGCGACCACCTGTCTGTGCAGTCTGATGCACAATGTTGCGGTGATTGGTTGATGTTGATGCCGCCAAAGACGGGTGAGGGAGCCAATTTTCTAAGGAAGGGTCGATGACACCTGACAATGACAACTCCTTGTGAGTGGTGATTGATGGATGACCAGCGGCTCCGGTGGCAGTGGGTTTCCCATGACGCTTGGCGCCACATACTTTCTCACCAAGTGTTTGACAACACTGGAAAGAAGAGAAAGGATTCATGGTTACTCAGTGCGAGCAAATAGGAGCTTGGAAAAAAAACTGACCAAGACACAAGCTTGGTACACACAGTCCTTGTTGGCTTTTTTGGGTTCATTAATGTGGTGTGCCTGACCAGTCTTGCCTTCGACGCCACCGCACAGCAGCTGAGGGGTTTTTGTTGATGGTGATGAGGGGTTTGGAGCAAAAACACAAGATAACAGGGTCTGGCTGTTCTTCAGTCGATTGGGTGTGCTGGGTTTGATGTGACTACTGGTGGGTTGCGGTTGAAGTGCGTTGGAATTGTAAAGCAGCCCTGGCCAGTGTGCGGCATTAATGGAGGCGATTTCAAAGGCGAGTTGAGCAGGTTTCCAGGTTTTGTACCAGTGACCACTGCCTTTCAAACCGTCAGGTTTGGGTGGGGGCGGGAGCCCACACTGAATGGAGAATTGGGCAAATTGTGTTTAGTTCATACATAGGAGGAGGAGAGGGAGCGGATCGCATGGAAAATACCTACCGCAACAAGCCAACCAATGGGGGAATGCTTGATGTACTTCAGAGGGGTGGTAACGCCTCCTATGAGGCAGGCGGGGCATGCAAAACCGATGTGTCCCCATAACACAGGTAGCTCAATGCGTTTGGTGGGATGGATGCGTACAAATGTGGATTGAATGTATCGGCTGGTTGGGTCTTTAGTGTCCATGCTGAAGGTGGTGGTGAGATGGTGGTGGGTGCAAAGTGAAGCAGACAACGCGACAACTCAGGGGCAAGGCCATGTTGCAAGATCCGGCCCGCAATCGTTTGGACCTCTTCGGGAGGGGACGACTAGGTATTTCACTTGGAATGTGGTGTGAGTTTCATGTGTGTGTGGGAAAGGCGGGTGGTGTCACTAAGCATGAAAGGGCTGGGTCAGGTTGGTGAAATGTGTGACTGTCCAGGGCTGACAGCACAATCACGGACCTCCCAAAGGACCACTGTTCCCCCTTTTCACAGTACCCCTCCTGCACTTTGCACTTGGCACACCTTTTGGCACATTCAGGGGTGTTGTTCGGGATCAGGGTAGGCATCTCACATGTACGTGTTAGAACCTCTGGGTCAGCTGAGGCTGTAGATGTGGGTGGTGGGTTTGAGGAAGCCGTGGACGTCGGCACCGCTGAAGTGATTGTGGAAGTGGCATCTTAAGGAAAGTGGGCGTATTAGTTTGGTTTCAGTGAGGTGGCGGGGTCTAAGGCATGTAATCACTGACCACCCTGACGATCTTCTGGGCAAATATTGTTGTACTTGTATTGCATTCCAGTTGATTTAACCTGAACGTTGCAGTTGTCACTAAGTAGTCATAAGGTTTGTAAAGACCTTGATTGATCAGAAAGGGCTACAAGGAGGTTGTTAGGGAGAAAGGATAGCAAACTGACTCCATGCATTGCATGTAGGCATTGTTGAAGGTACCCTTGTTCAAGCAGTATCCTTCTCTGACCTTAATCTGGGCACACTTCTTGACACATTCCGGTGCACTTTTGGGAACACACACAGGCGTTTCACAAGTACCTGTCACCACTGGTGGCTTAGAGGAGGCAGTCAAAGTGGGTGATGGATCAGAAGAGGTAGTTGAGGCTGGAGCTGCTGAAGTGCTGGTTGGCGCGGGGTCTTGGCGGAACAGTCAAGTTACACCGCGGGAATCAATAGGTGTGAAACCTGATTGGGGAAAGTTGCGGTGACCGGGTCCGCAACTTTCTCCAATCGCAAATTGCGTTCGCAATTTGTTCGCAATATGTTTGCTGTACACCCTCAAGACCGCACAAGTACAGGAGTCGGGGGCGCTAGTGTATGTATCTAGCTTCCAGAGGCTCAGAGCACTTCTGGATTCACGACCAATTTAAGTACCCGTCTCGATACGATGTGTCAGAGGTTGAGCTCGTGTTTGATTTTCAGAAGAAACGGTTTTAACTTCGGTCAAGGGTGATTTCAATCATCTCGCAAGTCACGCTGCAAGATGCAACAAATGTGTTTAAATGCTTTTGCATAAGCCAATTCACAATGTCAAAGTTGAGGCAGACCGACCTAGACTGACATCAATACTAATTTCATCCTTATCTGATAGGCAGATAGGCTGGATAAGGGAGCAAAGTCCGACACGACTTATGAACCGTGCAACACTTTTGCCAAAAGCACAAATCACAAAATTGTACAAGCGGCGAGCACAAGTACAAAACAGTTGACAACCTGTAAATGGTTTGAGATCACCCTTGACCAAACCATTTCTTGAAAAGAAGTCAAATGCGACCTGATACCTCCTGATACATCCTCTGACACATTGTATCAAGACGGGTAAATTGATCACAAATCCAGAAGTACTCTGGAGTCTTGTAACTAGCGCTGCCGACTCCATGTATCCACTACTTATGCGGTCTCAAGGGTATACAGCAAACATATTGCAAACAAGTTGCAAACACAATTTGCGATTGGAGAAAGTTGCGGACCCGGTCACCGCAACTTTCCCCAATCGGGTTTCGCACCTATTGATTCCTGTGGTGTTAGTTGGGAGTTGATGAGAGTAAAGGTGTTACAGGAATATCATCACTCACCAGTGGAAGACGACATCAAGCTAGTAGAGCTAGTAGATGGGAATCTACAGGTCTCTGGGCAGATATCACTACGCCAAATCAATAATATACCATGGAGTTTAGAAAAGTCAAGATGTAGAAAATTCTCAGCAATGCATGAGAGGTAGGAAAAATTTGAAAAAATTATGGTTGAATCAGTATGTGATTTCCCATCATTTTGCATATTTTTTCATATTTTTACCTTGAGTTTGGAAGATGTTCCATAGAAAAATGATCTTGGGTGTATTTGGTAAGAAACTCGAATTTTGTCCAAAACTACCCAGGCTTGGGCAGAAAATTTTCAAGAATCACAAATACAACAATTTTCTTTTGATCAATTTGGCAGTTGCACATTATGAAAGCCACATACTGGATCTACAGTTTTCATTCGGATGCTAAAAAACTTGCGGAACAGATTTCTAAGCTTTTCTAGGTTTGCTGTTGGGGACGGTGGTTGCTGTACCTTCTTCATTTTTGGACACACGCCACTCATTCTAATGTGTATCTGGTAAATTAAACATGTAGCTTTCAGAATGGGCAGACATTCCAGATTTTGACACCAATTTGACAATCTTCTTGGTCTCACAGGGTTAATGCCTCCATGACTGCCAGTTTTGGACATAAACTGAGTTTCTGACCTGATATACACTGCTGCCGTAAAAATCTGTAAAAATATGCAAAATAATGGGCACACACAGGGGAATGCAACCCTATTTTTTCCATATTTTTTTGACCCCTTCTGCCTTGTGTATAATTTTCTATGTCTTTTTAGTTTTCTAAACTCAGCAGTAAATTTGCAATCTGGTGTAGTGTATCTCAGTAATTGTACTGCTGGCCAGTGGATCTATCTTTGACATTGCAGTTGTCACTGGTAAGTTGTGGACATCAATTGTACAGGAAATTACAGTAATCAGCCAGAGGGTGAGATGAAAGTCCATAAGGGGAATAACTGAGCAGAGAAGAAGAAAAGACAGTACCTCATGCATAGTTTATAGGTGTTGTCAAAAGTCCCAAAAGGTATGCTTTCTGGACAGTAGCCTTCCTTAACTTTGACGCTTGCGCAGTTTCTAACACATTTGGGAGCGCTGGCGGGAACTCCAGCAGGGCTGTCACATGGTTGGGTCGCCGCGGGTGGGTTTGATGTGGTCGTAGTGGTAGAAGGAGCAGCTGAAGGAATTGGATGATGAGTTGTCGTTTTGCAATCCAAAATAAATTAAAGCAGACACTCTGCAACTCACATCCTTTACAATCCGCAGGGCAAATGTTGTCGTACTTGTAATTCAGTCCAGTGGACTTGTCTTGGGTGTTGCAATTGTTGCTAGACAGATTGCATGGTTATACATAAGTCAGGGAGAAAGCTTTGAGGTGTGGTTGCAAAAAGATGAGAGAACTTTGACTGGCTTACCTCATGCATTGCGAGTAGGCATCTGTGAATGTAGGTTTGCTGGAACAATACCCTTCCTTGACCTTGATACTTGCACACTTCTTGACACACGCTGGAGCACTGTCGGCAACTCCAGCAGGAGTGTCACATGTTCCAGTCGCAGCTGGCGGATTTGAAGACATTGTAGAGGTAGGAGGAGGGAATCTACAGATCCCTTGGTACTTGTACTGCAACCCAGTAGATTGGTCTTTGGTGCTGCAGTTGTCACTGATGACGGGTAGAAATTTCGGTGATTAGTTTGAGGTTGGAATAGAGGCAAGTAGCACAAATTAACGTCATAAGAAAAAAGGAGGTACCTCATGCATTGTTTGTAGGCGTCGTTGTAGGTTCTGAAAGGTAGGCTCTCTGGACAATACCCTTCCTTGATTTTGATGCTTGCGCACTTCTTGACGCATTCTGGAGCGCTGTCGGGTAGACTGGAAGGGCTATCACATGGTTGGGTTGCAACAGGTGGGTTCGAAGCGGTCGTAGAAGTAGGAGGATTCGAAGAAGTTGTAGAAGACGGAGGGGCGCCTGAAGGGGATTGGTCGTGAGTTCTCATGTCAGAAATTGGGTGGAATACCAACAGACGCTATTGCTCACCTCCTTTACAAGGCGCGGGACAAATGTCATTGTACAGATACGTCAATCCAGTTGCTTTGTCTTGTGCATTAGAGTTGTCGCTAGCATAGTTGCAAAGTTGCGAGAAGCGTGTTGATCAGCTTAGATTGGATTGAAAAGTTGGAACAAAGTTGATCAGGAAGAATTGCTCACCTCATGCATTGCGAGTAGGCGTCGTTGAACGTAGTCTTGCTTGTACAATACCCTTCCTGGACTTTGATACTTGCACACTTCTTGACACATGCAGGAGTGCTATCAGGAACTGTAGAGTCGCAGCGGGAGGGCTCGAAGAGGTTGTAGAGGTCGGGGCAGCTTTGATAAGGATAGATTATGTAAGTTTCTACTCGACGAGCTGAAGGAGAAGTCAAGATACGCTAACGCTCACCTCCTTTACAAGCCGCAGGACAAATATCGTTGTATGAGTATTTGAGTCCGGTTGACTTGTCTTGCGCGTTACAGTTGTCACTGGGATAGTTGTGAAGTTTTAATAATCAGGTTGATCAGACAAGATTCAGATGGAAAGGATGACATGAGCGAGAGAAGCCCTACCTCATACATTGCGAGTAGGCGTCATTGAACGTAGTTTCGCTGGAGCAGTAGCCTTCCGATGGGAGGCATCTAGTCTATTAGTATGAGGTAGCTGACCCATCAGTGAGCTTTTCGATCATTGCACGGTCAAGGACATACTTTGTCAGCTGTACATTCACATAGTATACATTTCCCCTTGACGGACTAGAAACACGTCGTCTAAGCTTACTTGAGAAGGTACCACAATGCTCTCCTCGCCTTTCATGCAGTCTTCATTGGCTATCGTTGTAAGACTGAGATAGGAAGAAACTCTCCATGAGACAGAACATCTTAAATTGCGTCCTTTGGAATGAGCATACATTTGATGAAGTTGTCTCCCGGTCTCTCCACGCGTAAGTCCAATGGCCAATTTGTCGTCACACAACGCACCTTGCAAAGAGAACTTTGAGTTGAATCGCTGAATCTTGTTTGTTGGTGGACCGAGGATGATTGAGTTCTTATTATGTCATGTCCGAAACAGGTACTTAAATGTCTTAAGTATCTTGAAGTCAACCCTTGAGCGGCAGCCTGAGGTTTGGTGAACACTGAAGTGACACACAGAAAATTTACTTTAGCAAAAATCGATTGAGATTTTAAAACACTTGACCTCATTTCCAAATTCCTATACTCGAAACTCTCAACTCCCTACATCATGGAAGCTCCTACCAGCTCAGTCGCCAAATCAGCTCAACCTCAAAAAGCATTCAAGAATGCCGAAAAACCAATGGAAGTCAGGCTGAGGTACTACATCATGATGACCTTGTCCAGACCTAGAAAGATTATTGAGTACTGACCATCTATTTCGTGATCGGTAATTGTAGTAATATGACAGCAGCGAAAGGTAGGTCAACTTGCTACAATTCAAGAGAAAATGTCATGTATCAATCCCGGAAAGCTAAACTTGTCTACCATTTTTCACAATGTCGCTCATCTAGCTATTTCCGACGCCATTCGAACTTCCTTGGGACCTCGTGGAATGGACAAGATGATTCAGACAGCAGACGGAAATGTGACGATTTCTAATGATGGTGCTACTATTTTGAAACACATGAGTGTCATGCATCCTGCTGCTCGCATGTTGGTCGAACTTTCAGCCGCTCAAGATGTTTCAGCTGGTGACGGAACCACAAGTGTAGTAGTCTTAGCAGGCAGTTTACTCGGTGCTGCTGAAAAATTACTATCTAAAGGTGATTGTCTTATTTATGATTCATGCTCTGATCATCATTCTGATCCTGTATATGCGCACTTTCAATCACAGGTATTCATCCTACCATCATTGCTGAAAGTTTTTCAAGAGCTGCCATCAAATGTGTAGAATATTTAGAAGAGATGTCAACACCTGTCGATCTGAACGATCGAGAATCGCTTTTACGTGCTGCAAGCACTTCTCTGAACTCTAAAATCGTCTCTCAATACTCTTCCATCCTTGCCCCAATCGCAGTAGATGCAGTCAAACGGGTAGCTGACTTGGAAAACTCAAACGTCGACCTCAAGAATATCCGGATAGTCAAAAAAGTTGGAGGTACGATTGAGGATACCAGTTTGGTTGATGGTCTTGTACTTCGTCAAAATGCTATCACCAGTCAAGGTGGCCCCTCTCGCAAAGAAAAAGCGAAGATTGGACTGATTCAATTTCAACTTAGTGCTCCTAAACCAGACGTATGTGACTGTCATCTGCATCTAAATCCAAAGAAATATCGCTGAGGATCCCCTTCGTCATCGCACTCTTTGATCATTCGGCATCTATAGATGGACAACCAAATCAAGGTTGACGATTATCGTCAAATGGACAAGATTCTCAAAGAAGAACGCAAGTACTTACTCGAGCTCACTAAAACCATCGCCAAGACCGGCTGCAATGTGCTGCTTATTCAAAAATCCATTCTACGAGATGCTGTAAACGATATGTCCCTCTTCTTCCTCTCGAAACTCAAGGTCATGGTCATCAAAGACGTAGAGAGGGATGAGATCGATTTCATCACCAAGACACTCGGATGTAAACCTATTGCTGATATCGAAGCTTTCACTGCCGATAAACTCGGGGAGGCAGATTTGGTGGATGAGATCAGTGATAACGGAGCTAAGACGGTTCGGATCTCGGGTATCAAGAATCAAGGCAAAACCGCCAATGTCTTGTGCACAGGTGCTAATGAGCTTGTTGTGGATGAGAGCGAACGTAGTTTACATGATGCACTTTGCGTGATCCGATGCCTAGTGAAAAAACGGTGTGATAGATTTTTAACTTTTTTTCGATCGTGGTAAAGAGAGCTGATCACCATTCACGTGTTGATTCATGATTTATAGGGCCCTTATTGCCGGTGGTGGTGCACCTGAAATTCACGTTTCACGTCTCTTGTCACAGCACGCCCAAACTTTGAAGGGTATGGAAGCTTATTGCTTTCAAGCCTATGCTGATGCACTCGAAGTGATCCCAACCACTTTGGCGGAGAATGCTGGATTGGCTAATCCGGTAGCGGTGATCACTGAGTTGAGAAGTCGACATGCAGCTGGTGAACGAAATGCAGGAATCAACGTTCGCAAAGTAAGTCAAGTCTGCCTATATTTATTTCGGTCTGGAGATTCAAAACTTACTAATTATCTTTTGGTGTGATCTGCAGGGCTTAATCACCAATATCTTGGAGGAAAATGTCTTACAACCTTTACTTGTGTCGACAACTGCTCTGACCTTGGCTACTGAAACTGTTGGACTACTCTTACGGATTGATGATTACCAGTACGTCGCAATCTCATTGGGTGTATGACCAAGGCTGATGGTCTTTGTTCTGTGATCTAGCCCAACAAGGTAATCAATATACTTCAAAGACGAGGGATATTCTAATTGCATCTGAGTGGCCTGCTTAGTGTGTGGTATGGATGTCGAGTAACTATTCTTAAAAGGTTTGATGGAATCATCATGTAACATGTTTAGATGACTTCCTTCAGATGAAAATAATTTAGTCTATACCTGTTTTTTCATACGTGAGACTTTTGCGGTGAGAGAGCCATTGAGTAGATCACTTCATAATTTGGGCGTGCAGCTTGTTTCAAAAGGTGGATGTTAGAGAGCTTTTGGTTTTTGCATTGCAGTTTTGCATTGATATTGGGCTCCTTTGAGTTTGAGGACCTTAACATAGCTTCTGTATATATGCATATCAACCATATATACTCATCAATTTCTTTGTAAGTGAGACAAGCAGGTTATGATTAAGGAAGTATGAAACTTTTCAAAATCCCTCCCTCTGAGACAGACCCCAACGGAGAACCTTTGGAAGCTCTCAGTCTTCATTCCTGTGAGTCAGAGGCCAACAGACATTGTAATTTCACAACTCACTGTCTTTTGGTTAACTTGAATGCCTTCAAATCCTGGATGTACCAGATACTGATTGGCAATTCAATGGGTTTTGGCATCCGTCAGCGTTTTGACCTTGCTCAAGTATTACCTTCAGTCAACCCGTGGTAGGAGCTTTATTATATCAAGAGAGAACTCTGCATAGAACAACAATTCAGGGCTTTACATCTCATTTGGAGTCTTCATAGTATCTGAGGTAGGCCTTGAGTTAGATGTTAAATGAAATAAGAATACTATTTCCTCACATCAAATGAACAATGAAATACAAGGTAAACCTCGCATTGTTCAGATAAAAAGATGATTTGGAAATCTTCAAGTTGAAGTGAGTTGACTTTGGATAAAACAAATCTCATCCATCTTACTTGAGGTTAGGATTTCCAAGTCCTTTAAAGGCACCAGCAGCGTAGACAGCTTGATAATCAGTAAAAATGTTGAAGATGAATTGACGTACACATTATCATGAGCTGAAAGTAAACAAGTAAACACTCTTCATTGAATACACTTAAATCTCTATACCTCATATATTGCCTTCAAATCTGGTAGAAGATTTGATTCATCATTAGAAAAGTTTGAATCAATTTCAAAGGAAGTTTAGATTTCGGAAACAAAATTCAAACCTGCAAGAGGTCACATCATTGAAGGTTTTGATCAAGTAAGTGGTGATATAATACAGTACTGGAACTCTTTTTCACACCAATTGAACAATTTGGAAATCATGTTGAACCTTGACTTATCAGACATATAACAAATATGAAGAGAAAGCTTATACTTTTGTTGAAAGCTGCCACATATTTACCTGAGGTTGGAAGATTTGCGTACTTTGGAGGTTAGTGGTAACAATAGCATAGGCATGTTGATGATCACAAAGTATATCAAAATGATCCAGTACTCCTTGTTATCATCTCCAAGAAAAGGAGTGGACATATATATATATCCTTGAACTTCACAGTATCATCATGATGAGATTATTGAGACTGAATGATATCCTTCTTTTTGGTAAATCTCAATGAAAACTGATAGCTGAAGTTGGATTCAAGACTGAATACACATTTTTTGGATTTAGATTTGGATTAATTTTTATCCCATTGTTGATAAAGAAGACACATATTCCTGAACCTCTCATGAGCGGAGTGTCATGACCAGAAATGTGAATGTATCCTCCTGATTGGAAGCCAGGTTTGTGGATGAGAAAGGAGGAGAAGCCTATGTATGTACTACAACTTTGAACCAAATTCTTAGCTTCATCCTTATAATCTTTCATGATGTTGAAAGCAGACTGGAAGACAGGGTTGAGGTTTCCTTTCTATATCTGTGTTCAATTCCTTCACCCATCAACATGACTCCCTTGAAGCTTGACCAAACTTATTTTGGTTGAGAGTCATGGGATGATCACTTGTTAGGACGCAGGACGCGTATGATTATGAAGTTATGTGTGCATAATGATTAATGATTCTTTCGAACATCATGACGCGATGTGATGCGTTTGATGATTCATTTATAATCGTTCATGTTTCCACTTTTCTGAACTCATCACATATCAATTTTCTAGAATCATTCGCATTCTCCAGATTGTAGTTTTCTTTACGATCAAACATCAGTCTGATTCCAAATCTTCTCAGCTAAAAGAAACCCATACGGTATACCTGTTGTTCTTTTATTTTTGATCACATTCTCGATTCTCAATCAAACCGAACGTACCTGACTGAATTCATGGTTTAAAGCCATAGTGCATGTAAGCATGTTATGGTTTTATACAAGCTTCAATTGTAATCCAAATCTGATCCAGTGGCAATCTCGACCATCCAGCTATTCTCAATTCTTAATCTCCTACAAACACAAACAAAGCAAAACCTCAAAATGGAAAACGGTTCAGAGAAATCAAACTTAACTCAAGAAATAGAAACCCTTTCAAAAGTGATCATCTCGAATGCTCATCTCGATACATTCGTCTCATCAGAAACTCATTCTCAAGTGGTCGATTTTATTGTGGAATTAAATGATTCGGTTCATGGTTTACCACTTAATCAACCTCTTCAACTTTCAACAGTCAGTCCCTTCTAATCTTCCACAAGTTCATGTACTTTGAACTTGATACCTTCCCTTTTTATAGAACGTTCAAGCCGCTCTTGACCTACTCGAAAACATAAAACAAATAGCAATCCAACATCCACCTCTCGATAACAAACTTTCACGATTCGGGAACCCAGCCTTCAGAAATTTTTACGACCAACTTGTTCAGGTAAGATATGCTTACCTTTACCTTCCATACCAAAAAATTCAGTATCTAATTGAGTTCTCTCGTGTTTATTTTGTAAGGAAGTAAATCACCTTCAATCATGGATACCTATATCCGAATCACTTTTAAAAGAAACTTCTTCTTACCTTATCGAATCATGGGGAAATCGTACTCGTATTGATTATGGAAGTGGAATGGAATTAAACTTTTTATGTTGGATGTTAGTAACTTCCTAATCGATACTCAAGCCCTTTTTATGTTCATTAATGTTGATTTTTTTCAACTTCTTGTGTTGGAAGGCTTTGTTTGAGTAAACTCAAAGTGTTTTCAAAGGAAGATTATCCTGCTTTGGTCCTGAAAGTCTTTTGGAAGTCTGTGACTTCCCTTGGATACTTTATCCAAGTATATCTCAACTGATCAAGATGCATCCCGTTTCCCTAAGTTTAGGTATATCGAGGTCATGCGTTTCTTGCAATCCACTTACTGGTTAGAGCCAGCTGGTGAGTGCTGTCACTTTTCCGTCTTGTCTATGTGTCGAAAACCATCAAGACCTTTTGTTGACTAAGCCTGGTGGACTGGTTCGACTTAGGCTCGCATGGGGTATGGGGACTTGATGATTATCATTTCTTACCTTTCTTGTTCGGATCAAGTCAATTAAGAGGTCATAAATACATCAAACCCAAATCTATACATGATCCTGATGTATTGGAAGGATATAGTGATCAGTACATGTACCTGGCTTGCATCCAATTCATTAACTCGGTATGTTACTTTTTAACTTTTCTTGGGATCATGATGGATTCTAAGGTTTTCTTTCATTTTTTTAGATCAAGACAGCCAGTTTACGTTGGCATTCACCTATGTTGGATGATATTTCGGGTGTAAAAACATGGGACAAGGTATGAAAGACAATAGATATCATATTTGTTTACTCGTTCACTTTACCGATCCGATCCTGACCTGACGAAAATGTTTTTGACGGTTTGCAAAAAAATGTATAGGTCAATTCAGGAATGATTAAGATGTATAAAGCAGAAGTACTTGGAAAACTACCGGTAGCACAACACTTTCTGTTTGGAAGTTTACTACCATTCCCACATGAAGAAGTCAGCGAAGAAGCCAAAACTCCGGATGAATTTGATTCGAATGATAAGTTGATTATAGATCATGATGGACATTTACATATCAAAGGACAACAAGGATGGGGAGAGTGTTGTGGGATACCGATTCCTAGTAGTTTTGCGGCTGTTCAAGATGAACAAAAACGAAGGATGGGATCGAACCCTAGTATTAAACGAATCCCGTTTGATTGAAGTTGATGGGGATTGAAGTCTAGGATTTTGAGTTGATTTGGATGAATTTAGATCTTATGTTTAAGTAATTGGGAGAAATTTTAAACTTCTTTTTAGTGTAATTTTATTTTGTTTTGGTATAATTGAAAAATACAATCACTTGCAGATGAAGCAAGATTATGATTTCGATTTTGAGATTATCATCTTGTTGAAAATTTATTCTTCCATTTAAAGAATTAATCAGATCAATCTGAATCAACGTCAAAGGGAAGGAGGAATCAAGTGAGGTTTGTTCGACACCAAGTTGAATAAATGATTCGGTATCTCTGTTCTGGTGACAGGTGAGCACTGAGATGGTTGTTTCCTGAAAGAACTCGTGAGTCGTGAATAAGGTATTTCTGACAAGAGGTAAAGGAGTGGATTTCAATTTACACTTTAAACTTATTACCAACACTCTTCAATACCCTAACAATTTACAAGGATTTTATATTTGTTTATCTTATCCGGCGAGCTGTGTCAGTTCAACTTTCAAGCCAAAACAAAGTGATGAAAACAAAAGCTTGATAACAACGGAATCCGGATCAATGCACCGTGCACGCAGTCCTACGCACATGACTCATATCCCCGTCCGAGGGCAATGGATTATGGCAGCTTGTGTAAATCTTGAGTTTTGTTTTTGATGAGCTTTGATGAGTTCTGATGATTTGATTTTGATTTTGATTTGAAATATGATATCCGCATTGAAATCGGAAACCATATCAACTTGATTCTTGATTTGATTTCTTGATGAGCTTTGTCATTGATGAAGTTTTGATTAGTTGGTAACGGTTTGATGAACTCCAACTTGAATGAAAGGGTATAAATAGTTCATCATCTTTTTGTATGGACACACTTTGTCAAATTTTCCCAAAAAAAAATTCAAACATTTCTTGATTTCTCAAGATTTGTTTGGGAATTGAATTGCTCGACTTCTTGATTCTTCTACAATTCCAAATATAGAGCTCTCATCTCGCTTGATTTCTTCTGTTTTTTTTTCTTCATACGAATTTCCTCATTTTCTGCTCAACTCGTTTTAGGCCTTTCAGAGCTTTGCATGCTAGCAAATTTGTAAAAGAAGTTCATTTCTTCAAGCTTTTTATCGAACTTTTATATCAGGTTAATCCGATTACATATCAGTACGTCTATAGGTAAGTTTTCCTTCCAAAAAGTTTATGTGAAACCCTACAAAACTAATGCCATCTCGATTTTTGTTTTGGCAGCTTTCAAAAACCATATCAGAACTGCCCCACCAATCACAACCTTGGAAGCTACATCTGCATACTTAAAATCGACTGCACTTAGTTCCTGATTATCGTCATCGATTTTTAAACATGTCAACTCAATCTGATATGAAATCTTATCAAATCTTAAAGTGGATAAAAGTTATAATCCTCGGTTCGATCGGTAATACGATCGTCGGTGGTTTAACTGGTTTCATTGGATCTTTCTGTCTACAACATCATCCATTGATATCGATTTCGATTATCTGGATAGGTGCTTTGGCAGGTTTGATCGGTGGTCTTTTACATGCTATCATGGTTTTCTTTACTTCTTATTTCTTTACTACTTCAACCAAACCAAACCAACCGAAAAGTTTATCACAAGAATTACTGTTTATCTTGACTCAAGCTCCGCTTTGGAGTACGATTGGTGCTACGATTAGTTATACGATCTTAGTTGAAAATCCATTACACTTCAATCATCAAGCTAGTCATCAAAATCATTTATCATTTTGGATGGTTTTGTTGACTGCTTTGATCGGTACTTTTCTCATTGCTCTTTATTCGATAGTTATGTTTTGGTTTACTAAATCTGAATCTCATTTATGGATCTTACAAAACGGTTTGGTATTATTGTTTAATGAATCTTTTAAACCTTCTTATCATGATTTGTTGGTCAATCTTGATTCTCTTGATACTGATCCTTTATTTGATCATGATACAAAAATTCGATTAGCTTCTTGAATCTCTTGTTTTGTATGCTTTTTTTTCTTTGCTTGTTATACATTAGCAATTTATGTACTTTACTTACCAAAAATATAGGATCTTTTGATGAAAAAATTAAGTCTATGTCTCTTGTAATTGTTGTGTTGTTTCTTAATCTTGTTAAGCAAAAAAAAATTATCAATCAAGAAAAAAAATGTTTCTCAAAGATGTATGTTTGGTCTTTGTAGAAAGTGGAATACATTTTTAGAACATTTTGATGGATGTTTGTATAAGATTATAGATTGGATTCAATTGAAATGGGCATCATAATAATGATATTGTTGGGAAAGTTACCAAAAGAACTTTTGATTTCCCTTGATTGAAGATCACAAAACAAGACCAAATTTGTTAGACAATGCACAAACTTAACTAAGTCCAAATTTGTACCGGGGTTTTTTGCATAATTAAATTTCTAACCAAACTTGCAGTGTCCAAAAGCTGTGAAACAGGGGATCTTGTGAGGTTTATCTGATTTATCTTGTTGATCAATAAACTTTGATCAAATCTCAAGAAAATATCAATACTCCTTGTATGCATAATTCTTTCTCTGTCAATTGCTTTGAGATCAGCACTTACAATCCTAGACCTTGCTAGACAGCCCAAACTCCAACTTTGACTTTCATTTACAATATCAAAGACTCTCATTGGTCATATCATTAATTGTAAAAGTGAACTAGAAGATCTAATCTTTATATTGACATCCAGTGCATATCAGAACCTCAAGTTGTTCAGCTGGTTAATACTTGATCACTGGCTAGATGAACGATTTGTTATTCAATATGAAGCCCTTCATCAATTTGGAAAACTGAATGTGGTCCACAGGATGCACAAGGATGGGATCAGTACTTGACCAGGCTAGACTATGCAGTACTGGGAAATCATCTTCACAGCTGGAATACTTTCTTGTGATCACCAAATCAAGTTAAGGAATGAAACTGTTTACTTATCTTGATTTGGCTGATACAAAATTTTGTTATGAAATGAACTTTTAGTGACTCGATCCAAGGGTGCTGTTGATATGATAAGTAGATTTCAGTAAAGAAAGAGAAAATGAGGTTAAACTTAACATCCCAAAATATGTACATTAGATATCTAGGTTGAAGAAAATTTGTCAAAATGAGCCTTTCCCAAGCTTATAAAGAAGGGTAAGTTGTGATTTCATCTTACAATGTTCTTCTTCCTGCATAGACTTGGATTTATGTTGAATTTTCCCACAAGTTCAACCATCATAAAAGATCTTGTCCCCTCCAAATCTACTGTGTGCCTCTTCTCCCATAATGCCACCAATACAAACTATCAAAACCATCCAGGACAGAAGATGAGTAAATGAGAACAGAGCACAAGAAAATGAAAGAAAGTATATAAACCAAAATCACATAAAACTTGTGTTCATTCAATAGAATAGGCCAGCGCCTACATGGTTTTTTTGTGGGCTGCAAATAGCAATGGCCTAAATCAATTGGAAAATATCCTTGTCAAGCGCGGAATCATCGGCTCACCTGCTTGCGGCTCCAACACTACCTGGTATACTGACACAATGTATATATCCTTACTCTTCCAAAGCCAATGTCTCAGGTTATATTCAAAACCTTGCATCAGTCGACCGTGTGTTTCATCGACTATGTCGTGGTTACCTTTATGAGGCATGTTTTCCTTTTGTCAAGAACAAGACATTAGGCAGCCAGCCGCCACACTGTATAGCATCCTATTGATGCATGTAGCCTTGGTGTGTGTTTGGTTTGTTAGAAATTCCACCCATTGAAACAATCAATGATCCACAATGTTTTTGCTTGTCACTTCTTTAGTCCTGTATTTTGTCAATCTCACTCTTTGAATAGGTCTAATACCACAACTTATGGTCATATTTGATCCACAATTTTGTGTTTTATCCTTCAGCTGCTGTTTGTTTATCTTAGAATGGTCATTGATTACTGCTACATCTGGAATTATATCCTGTATCACTCAATTCTACCACACAAAATAGCAATACCCTTGAGATTGACTTTCAACTTGAAATCATATATGCAGCATCTTGTTTTTGACCAGCAAGGGCATCTGTAGGAAGATCAACACGCAAGCAACAAAGATCAAAAAGCAACAAAGATCAAAGTTTGTACATACATTTCCTGGAAGTGTTAAGACATGTCAGGATTGAATTGACTTTGGCTCTCTTGTTGTCAGAGAATCTTGTCACTCATCTCATCCACAAATACTATGGGCTTCCTCACCAGCCCTTGTGGGCTATCCAGCAGCCCGCCCCCGGCTTTCCGCTGGGGGATGCCGTGAGTTGACAAAAAAAGGCAAAAAATTGAATTTGCCATCACAAACATTGAATTTTGAGTTTTATAATGGAATATTCTATTCTCAAATGATTGTAAAACTATAGCACAAAGAGGAAGTGTGGAGTGTATCTCTGACCTCATCTGCAAAGAGACACAAGGTGTCCACAAGATCTTCCTTGAGAACATTATTTGAGGTTCAGTCACATAAACTGAGTAGGTTTATATTCATTACTAAAATACGCCTTTAGTGCATGAGAAATTCTTCATCCTCTGCCTGCTTTTTCCTTTCATGTGCTCATCATTTTTTCATCTTGTGTATTTATAAAACATCCAAAAGGAAATAGGTAGATTAAATTACAACTTATATTGACCAAAGCTATTTGCCAACACAAAATGAAAACTGTGAAATTTAACTGCTCATCATCAGCTCAGGTCTGTGCTGCCTCCCAACTGTCCCCCTTGACTTTCTTATATTCTGCAGGGGATTGGGTCTGCTCCCAAATTGTGCCCCGACAATGCCCTGCAAGAATTTTGGTCCAAAACTCATCCCAGCTCCCACCCCTGCTGGGGGCGGAGGCCAAGGACTCTCCCGATCTTGGGGGTGGGGGCTGCCCCCTAGGCTTGATCAAATATTTGACAGGCCTACCCTTTCAGTAGGTTTGATTAATTACATGGGAAGGAGAGGTTCCATTAGCTTTTTGAGACAGATTATAATGTACAGCTTGTCTGTTGGACTTCTTCTGATGATGTATTCAAACTCACAACATATTTCAATATCCACTATTTCAATGTCAGCTTTTGTGAAGGGAAAAATATAACTGGTGCAAATTCAAATGTTCTCAGCAGTCAAACTTTGCATGAATTTGGAAAACATTTAGCCGTACCCGTTGTGTTGTTATTTCCACCTACTCAGCTGCAACACATCCAGCAAAGACATTACCATTACGTTGCTTGGTGTTGATTGATTTGGCTGGATTTATTTGCTGGTGAACCGTGATTGAGGCAAGGGATGCTGAGCAGTGAGCAGCTGCTGATCATGAAATGGCATACCCCAAGTTGGCCGGCCCAGCCCATTGCCAAGTTGTGTGGCTGGCAACGGCACCACACCACACCACAACACAATGACGGAAGATCCTGCCCCAAGGGGCAATGCATTGCGCAATTGCCTGCCCGTTTCTTTGCGGTGCATTGCTCACGTGTGACCGTTGCCATGTGTTGCTTGACATTGTGCACCCCTAGCAACACACAGGTCCAACATTGCTGTGGGTCAAGGATCCGCAGATGACTCTAAAATTTGTCTGTAAATGTCCTCTGCTTTTGCATCAAGGGGTATTTGTTGGGAGAGAAAAATCTAAGACAGTTGATCATCACACAACACCAAAGAAAACGACTTGATACTAAACACTTAGAATCAAGCTACACTTAATATATGACTTGTGTTCATCTTTTCTCTCAACCGGTTCTTTAGATATTTTGGGGCTGATTGTTCAGCCTCTATCCTTTGAAACCAGGTATGACTTACAGTTTCATTCATTATTTATCTTTATCTTTTCTCATTAGTGTTGTAGTGCTTGTAGAGAGATATTGGGACTGGTTGTTCACCCTCTATCCTTCTGAGCCAGATGTGTCCTTGCAGGTTTAGTGATATAAGATCAGATCTCTTGGGTTCTAGAAAACCCCTTGCTGTAGTGTCCTGTCCAAAGTCTCCAGTGAAGGTTCTATTCAAACGTTACAAAAAAACACATATCAATGTATCATTGTATGAGCAGATACAGCTCACTTCTCACACCCAAAATCTGTTTTACATGTCAACTTCCAAACAGGTAGATTTATCTTATGAGGTCCATATGCACTTTGTGATGACAAATTACATCCTGGTTTCCATGTGGGGCACAGAAGCCTGTTGATTCAGTACAATCATAAGGGAATACATCACACAACAAAGAGCTTGTGTTTGTCTTGACCAATCCATATAAATAATGAACTCCTGCATTTGAAGGAGAATCATAGATTTCAAACAGGGAATGAGTTTGACATCAATCAGGATACATTATTTTATGCAGATATGAGATGATTTAGATTCTATATACCTGAGATTACAGATCACTTAGTCTTGAAGTGCAATTAGTTGTTTGCTCATTCCATGTCACTTAATCTAATGGCTAAGGATTGGATATTCATATTTTGTGTCATTTGGTGTGAATTTGATTGAAATTGACATTGAATCTGAATGATATCAGTGGAACCACAGGCCAAATTATTTTTGTTTCATCATACTTCCAGACAGGATGAATCATTAAAAGACCAAAGTGTTGGTTGACAAATGTAACAAATATCCTCAATCAAATCATGTCTGAGGCTTCATTTGGAATCACACCAAGGTGTTTAGGCATATAGCTGGGATATGATGTGTTTGGGTTTGAAGATTCAGAAAAAAAAGACAGAGACAACTGCAACATATAAAACAAACTGACATGTCTTTTCAGCATCCAGATATGCTAACAGGTTTGAAGTTAGGTTACAACCAACTTTATTAAATGAGTGCTGGTAAATCAGCCACCTGATGATTAGATTTCAAAAAACAAATGATTCAACTCTTTGAAGGTGTAAGGTCATGTTATAGATGAAGACAGTTATTAGTTAGGTTGTTGATGACTGAGTTTGATTGTTTTATAGCCAATGAGACTGGTATTTTCC